TCTCTCTCTCTCTCTCTCTCTCTCTCTCTCTCTCTCTCTCTCTCTCTTTCTTTCTTTCTTTCTTTCTTTCTTTCTTTCGAACTTAGGTACACTTTTCCTTCTCTGTGCTTCAGTTTCCTCACTAGTAAAATGAGTGAGTTGAATGAGATGACCTCTAGGATTTCATAGCAATTCACTAAATTGAATGCAAATTTTGTAAGGCACAAGGAGGCAGACTTGGGTTCAGCAAAAGCAAAAACTTTGCAACAATTAGAACTCTCCAAAAATAAAATAAGCTTCCTTGTTTTGAGCAGAGACTGGAGAGAGATTCTGTATTGTGATTTCTGCTTACATATAGACTAGAATTCAGGGGTAGGAAATCTGCAGCCTCGAGGCCACATGTGGCCCTCTAGGTCTTCAAGTGGGGCCCTTTGACTGAATCCAAACTTCATAGAACAAATCCCCTTAATAAAAGGATTTGTTCTGTAAAACTTGGGCTCAGTTAAAGGGCCATACTTGAGGACACAGGTTTTCCACCCCTGGGCTAGATGTTCTTTGAAACCTCTTCCAGCTCTGAGATTCTATAATTTTATGATTCCTTGAATATAGAAATGCAGACTTTTAGAGAGGACTATAGACACAGAATACAGATTTAAAGGAGATTAAAATACAGAATTTGCTTTAGTTTAATTCAACAAGTATTTATTATATGTCCACACCAAACATTTGGCTAGTTGCTGAGGATACAGAGACAAAAACAAAAGGTTGTTTGCTTTCCAAGGAGCTCACTTTCTACTCTTCCCTAGATTGTAGAAAGGTAGAGCCTGAAGGGTCCTTAGAAAGCAGGTAATCTCTTTCCTTATTTTATGGATGAGGAAACTAAGGCCCAATGGAATGTGACCTGACCCAGAGCACAAACGCAATGGACCCCAAATAGATAGACAATAAATTGAGTCATAAGGGTGATGTAACTTCTAACTGAGCAAATCTGGTGCCATAGCTTGGATTCATCCTCTTCCAGTGGGATATTGCCCCAGCCTCAGAGCTCAGAGGGCCCCAGAAGTTGAGTTCTGATTTTCTTTATTCTATGGAATAGTAGAATACATGTTCAAGGTTTAAAATACTTTGTTCCTTGCATGTGGCTATCCATCTCTGATCTCTATTCTTTGGTTCTGTCTGTCTTCCACTGATGAGATGCACTCTCTCCTTACCACCACCTCACGGATTCTACACAGTCCAACGACTTCCACACCAATTTCTAGAGCTTTTCTTCAGCCTCTCCTGTTCCCTTCAACTGCTTGTTATCCCTCCCTCCCTAACCTTGTAATCTATTGTAATTTTTTGTAATCTATTGACTTTATCCTTTTTTTTTTGGTATACATTTATTCTGTATACTCTTATATATGAAGAGGTTGTCTCCTTGAGAGTAGGACCTAGAACATAGTAAGTGCTTAGTAAATTCTTGCTGATCTGTTGATTCAGTGTATTACATTAGCTTTGGTGACTCAGTCTTGTCCTATCTTCTGCAGCAAAAAACAATATGAGGAGGAAAAAAGGAAAACAAATGGAGATCTTAGGACACCTGAAGAGAAACCAAAATTTAAAAAAGAAATTGAGGTGAGGTCAAAATCATACACATGCCATTGTTGTAATTTTTAAAAATGATTTTTCAAAAGTGAGTGTTTTATTTTTTAAGAGTAAAGAACCCTGGACTATCAATAGATCTAGAGTTTAGAACTGGCTCTGCCATCTTACTGCCTTACCTTAGTTAAAACCTTGCCTCTGCATTCACTCTTTCTGTGACTGACTCTCTGGGCCTCAGGTTCTTTATACGTAAAAAGCTGGAATTGGACTAGGTTGCATCTGAGGTCTCTTTCAGCTCTAAATCTGTGATCCCATAACCTGGGAGACTTTGAGCATGTCTTTTCCCTTTTCTTGGCCTCAGTTTCCTCACCATTTAAATAGATATAATAATTCTGCCCTCCCTCCCTTCCAGGAAGCTGGAGAATGAATGTGTAAATACTTTGTAACTCTAAAGCAACTGAAAAATGCTATCTAAATTCAAAGTGTTATATTCATTGTTAAGATTGCTAGTAATGGCTGTCTGAACATTGTTCCTAAAGTTGTAGTATCAGTTATCTAGTAATAATAAAGGTGACATTTCTATAAGTGCTTTCTAACTTAATAATAAAAACACTAATAATAATAGCTAAAATTTGTGTAGTGCTAACTGTCTGCCAGGGACTGTGCTAAGTGCTTTATAACTATTATATCATTTGAGCCTCGCAATGACCCTGAGAGGTAGGGGCTATTATTATTCCCATTTTGCAGATGAGGAAACTGAGGCAAAGAGATTAAGTGACTTGCCCAGGGTCACATAGCTAGTAAGTATTTAGATGTCAACTCAGGTCTTTCTGACTCCAGGCCCAGAGTTATCCTTATAAGTCTTCCACCAATGCTGTACTGTTAGGTGTTCCAAACGTTGCTTACAGAGAAGGAAAGTAAGACTCAGAAAGAGGAAGTGACTTGCACAGGGTCACATGGCTAATTAAGTGGCAGACTCTGGACTTAAGAGCTCATGTCTTTCAGTCTATGGCTTTTTCCACTGCACACAAACATAGGTAATAATTTATTTAAATTTATTCATTTGTTTATCCATCTATCCAACCATTTATTAACTATTTATTCATTTATCTATTTATTCATCCATCTGTATCTGTATATTTGTTTGTTTGTTTGTTTAGAGTAATATTCCATTACTTTAATAGAAAGAAATCAAATAGATTTTCTCAGACATAGAAGAGTATTTTTAATCTTTTCTTCCCATTTTCCTGATGAGTCCTTCAGTTCCAATCCATTCAACAATCATTTATTAAGCACATACTATTCACAGAGCCCTATGTTGGGCAGTTGGGGGTACTATAAGTTTATAGATAAGAATCTCTGTCTTAATGGAGGTTACAGTCTATTGGTAATATAAGACATCAGTATGGGTCACTATAATCTTCAATAATTCATTATAAGTGATGATTCATGATAAGTAATTCACGATAACAGAGATGAAAACAAAGTACTATATTAGGTTGCAGGGGAAGGGGGTTGCTGACTAGGGAAATTGGGGAGGTGTTGAATGAGGTAGAATTTAATTTGAGCTTTCAGGGATGGATCGAGAGGAAGACATCTCTAAAGAGGCAGAACAGGACCGTCTGGAGTTAGGGAATAATGGAAGCTAAGACACAGAGGCAGAATATTTCAGGATATGTAGGCAAAGGAAATGTTGCCAACTTTGGCTGCAGCTTAGCATGTATGGTAATAGCATAAGGTTGTATAATAGAGTAGCATTAGATTGTGGAGGACCTTGAATACCAAGCAGAGAAGTTGAAAATTTACTTGGGAGACAATAGAGAGCCACTGAAGATTTTTTTTTTAGCAGAGATGTTATCAATGCCTGAGGGGGATAGAGAGCATAGGGAAGCTTGAGGAAAATTCTGATATTCCTTGATTAGTCTTGCCTCCAATGGTAAGTGCATTAGAGATGCATGTTTTATATCTTATGCATATGAAGAATGAACAGGAAACTGAAAGCCAGTTATCTGTTTTCCTTCTTCAGGCACTATGCAGTGAATTCCGGGACCAGATGAGCAAAGGCAGACTCTTTTGCACTAGGGAGAATGACCCTATCCAAGGCTTTGATGGCAAGCATTATGGGAACAAATGCTCCATGTGCAAAGCCTTTTTGTGAGTACAAATTGGGCAGCAGGAATTTTGCTTCAGTCTCTCTGGGAGAGAGTATCTTTGGATAAGATAAGCCTTTATTACCATTCTCTGATTTCTCATTTCCTAGCAGCATTCTTTTCCTGGAAAAGCAAATCCTTCCCAGGATTGTTTTATTTTCTTTATAAGCATATATTGGGATTTAAAACTGAAGGCAGTGCTCTGGTTCTATTGCAGGATAGGACTCTGGACTAATATTTGGAGAATCTTAGAAATTTAGATACTCAGACCTTTTGTTTTTTTATTTTAATTTGTATCTATAGCTTTTGGTTTTAAGTTGTTCTCAATTCCATATATAGATTCCCTTCCTTCCTAAACATTGGTCCATCCCTTGTCATTAAATAAAAACTAGAAAAGGGCAAAAGCAGTTTAATAAAATCAACCATCAACTGGGACTGACAGTATATGCAGTATTCTAGTCTTAGCTCCCCACCTCTGAAAAGAAAGGAGGGAAGTACTTTTTCTAGACTCTAGGACCAGGCTTTTTCATCATTAAAATTACAATAGCATTCAAGGATTTTTTTTCTTTTTGTTGTTCTTCCCATTTGTATTATTGTAGTAATTGAGTGTTGTTCTCTTGGTTCTGTTCCCTTCATTTAGGATTGTCTCATACCAAGCTGTTCATGCTTCTCAGATACACAGTGTAACTAGAGAACACTTCCCCATCCCTCTCACCCTTGCTACCACCCAACATACACTTATGTTGTATTTTGGGCTGTATGTCTCTTTTTCCTTTCTGCCTAATGGGGATTCAGAATTGTGCTAACTCAAGTATTATGTCTGTTCATGCTTTGTAATCATAAGCACAGGCATCCCACTAGAATGATGGTCTCTAGACCCATGTTTCTCAGTCACTGCAGCAGCTATACTCAGGATTTGTTCACCTACATCTAGAGCCATCCTATTCTGTCCTCACTGCCATGTTCCCATAGCACAGGCTCAGCACCAAATCCTGAAGGATCACCCACTGACAGAATGCAGACTAACCACTGTCTCAGATGTTTGACTTGAGCCCATTTAAATACATCCTGCCCTAATCTTCTGGTGCATTGAATGGGTGAATGCTCTCTGAGACTTGCCCAGGAGACCACACCTAGATGTACTCACACAGAAACATGAATGAATACACGTCTTGTATTTGTATTCACAAAGCATATGACACCTCAAAGTTCATACCAAAGATACATACATATTTGAGGTCCACACACTTGGGAAATTCCTCAGATGCACAGTTGTAAAGCTAGAGACACTCTCAAATTCCTTCCTGGAAGCTGTCCCCAGGCCTACCTTAACCACTTAGACCTCAAATTCTAAAGTCGGGGAAAGGTCCTAATGCTTCTCCTAGAATCCCAGGTAGAGGAGTAGAAGGAGTTGACTTCACTTAACAAGGAGGTAGGAGGTTATTTTGCTTGTCCCACAGTTGTCAAGTCCCAACTTTCAGTACTTTAGGATCTCAGAACCACAAAATCCTCAAAACAGATTCCTAGAACTGAAGCCTCAGAACCAAATCTTTATCTTTCAGACCTTATAATCTCAGGCCCTTTAGATTCCCAGAACTTCAGAACCTTGACCTTCTTAGACTCTTAGAAACACAGACCTCTGAGTACTTATTACTTTTAAATATTTAAAAAAATTCACTTTTAGATTCTCAGAATTTTAGAAGTCTCTAAATCTCAAAGTCTAAGAGGAAGCAGTAACCTTAGAAATGACCTAGTCTAACCTTGAATCAGGGTGGAAATTGCCTATGCACCATCCTCCACAGTGAGTAATTTGCTTCCTGATTAAATACATCCAAGGTTGGGAAACTGAGGGCTGGCAATGTCAATGGTTGAACAGAGCTCACTGCAAGCTAGCATTTATATAGTGCTCTAAGTTTTACAAAGCACTTTATATTTGTATTCTCATTAAATCCTCACAATAGTCCATGAGGTAGGTGCTATTATTATCCCTATTTTACAGATGAAGAAACTAGCACATGGATATTAAGTGACTTACTTGCTCAAGGTCAGTAAGTGTCTGATGTGGGATTTACACTCAGGTCTTCCTGATCCCAAGTTCTACACTCTTATTCACTTTGACACCCAGTTGCTGGAACTAAGGTTGGGATAAATTTTGGTTTTTTATAATTTTTCCCCATTACTCTTAGGTCTGCCCTCTGGGGAAAAGCTGGTTCTCTCTAGATTCTAGATGACTTTTCTTGGAGTGATGATTTATGGAGAAAGGTTGTGACACAGCAGAATCTCATTGGAGACCTCATCGCTGAAAGGTTCTGCTGGTGACCCTGCTGAGGGATGGCAGTTGACAAGCAAGGTTGAGAGAGAAAAAAAAATGATATTTCCATGCTTAATAAAGCTCTGTTTCTTTCTTTGCCTTATAGCCAAGCAGAAGCTGAAGAAAGGAAAAGAAATGAAGAGAAATTAAGGAATAAGAGAGAATCAGCAAACACTGCCTCATTTGCGGTGAGTGACAATATGACACCCACTTAGACTTCATGTGATCTCATTGCAGCCCAAAGTGCAAGTCACTTTGAGATCAGGGCTGAGCATCAATGCTGGTGAAATATATATGTGTACATATAAACATAGTGTTTTAGGATCTGGAGCCAGGACGGATCTTGGTAATCATCCAGTTTAAACATCTCACTTTAGAGATGAGGAAACAGAGGCTCAGACAGGAAAAGGGATCTACCCAAGCTCACACAAGTGATTCACACAAGATTCACACAAGTGTCACCCAAGACAAGATTCAAATTCAAGCCCTCTAATTCCAGATTCAAGAAGGTTTTCCACAACACCTTGTTATTCCTTTGATTATTAGACAAACCCTACATTCCACATTCTACATTCTACATTCACACACCCTACATTCCAGCTAAACCGGACTATGGGGTACTGCTCCCCAAACCTGTCCTAAGGTCTCTAGCCTTCCAGGATTTCCTCTGCTAGGTCCAGAGGCCTTGTATACACTCCTTAAAGCCCTGCTCAAGTGCCATCTCTGCTGTGAAACCTTCCCAAGCCCTAGCCCCAAATAAAAGATCCTTCCTTTCTTTGAACTAACATTCATCTCCTGAATTATCGTAGAAAAAATCATAGACCAAGAGCCAAGCCTTAAAGATGATTTAGCTCATCTAACCCCCTCATTTTACAATGGAGGAAATTAAGACCTAGAGGGGTGTGGCTTGCACAACCACAAAAACAATCAATTATAATAGTTTACATATATATATATATATATTAGCAGTTTAAAATTTATAATGAATTTTTCTTATAACAACCTTGGGAAGCAGATAATACAAGCACTAATGTCCTCCTTTTACAGCTGGGGAAATTGAATTCAAAGAAATAAAGTGATTTGCCCAAGGCCATGAAGCTAGTAATTGGCCCAAATGGGATGAAGGCAGAAAAGGGACTAGAACTGATTTAAAACTCTTAATTGCATCAGGCTACCCTCTTCCCCCTATTTTCTATACCTAGGATTGCTAAAACTTCACTATAGTAGGAATACAAGTTAAGTGGGCCCTTGAAAAAATTAATGTCACTAGTGAGAGTGACACAGTTTAGGTCTAACTGGGCTCAAGGGGATCTTGGAGATAATTCTCTAAGTTAGGGCCAACAGGTCTCCCTACTGATACGAACCTTATTCTTTTAGCCTTTAATCAAGTTTAAAAAAATAGAAGGGGAGTGCACAGGTAGAAAAACAAACAAAAATATGTCAACCTCCTTCCCTTCATGTGGATAGGAGCTGTGCAGTCCATACCGCAACTATGTGAGGAATGGTCGAATGGCCTGCACAAGAGAGAACGACCCCATTCTGGGACCAGATGGCAAAATGCATGGCAACACGTGCTCAATGTGTGAAGTCTTCTTGTGAGTACGATGAAAGTGCTGAATTAGTTGATTATTAAGGTCCCTTCCATACCTAACATTCCATGTTCTGTGTTCTAAGATGTCTTCCGCCCTGACTTTTTATATCTTAAGGTTCTTTGCAGCTCAGACATTCCTTATTTTATGTTCTAAGGTCCTTTGCAATCCTGATATTCTAGGTTTTAAGATTCTTTCCAATTTTGACATATGATGGTCTATATTCTAAGGTCCCTTCTAGCTTTAACATTCTGTGATTTGTATTCTAAGTCTTTTTCAACCCCTCCAGGTTAAGATCCCTTTTAGCATGAACTTTCCATATATTATGTTTTAGCATTTTATGTTGCAAGGTTCCTTCCAGGACTGATATTCAAAGGTGTTTTCCAGCTCTGAAATTTAATGTTCTATGTTCTAAGGCCCCTTCTAACTCTGACATTTTGTTATTCTAAAGTCTAATAATAACATTCTTTGAATCTATGAGGAAGATGTTTGTTTGGGACCTTAGGAACTACTAAGACACAGACCTGGCTTGGAGAAAAGTTGCTTTTGGGGGATTTACCTGACAAATAGATCTGCATATTCTCTCCCCTTTCCTCAATGCCTTTGGTAAAAGTTGTCTGCCTCTTTGGATGAGAAAATTCTTGACTATGACAGCCTGGGGCTCCTGATAGGCTGAATGGCCCTCAGTTAGGAACCTGTGAAAGGAGCAGAGTTGTAGGAATGGGAGTATGCTGATTGACTGACTACCAGCAATGAATATTCAGTCTGCAGGAACAGGATAACAAAAGAACTTTCAAACCTTGGTGGAGTCAAAAGGACACTCACTGGTCATGGAGTCAAAGACCTGGCTTTGAGTTCCAGCTCTTCAGCTTATTCACTATGTGATGCTGGGCCAATCTGTTATGCTCTTGAAGTTCCTATTTCCTTATCTGTCAAATGGGCACAATAATATTTGAGAGGAAAGTACTCTGAAAACCTTAAGTTGCTATACAGATAGAAGTTAACAATAAAAACATAACTGTGAATTAGATAATACAAAGATATTATCCCATATTACAGAAGGGAAAGTGACTTCTATAAGGTCACATAGCCACGGTTTGTGTCCAAATTTTTCAATTAAAATTTAACATGCTTTCCATCAAAACTGGTTGCTTGTGAAGCACAGCCCCAAGGGAATATGGACTCTGTCCTTCAGTATTAAGCGGTCTCAGAGGACATAAGCTAAGAGAATGTTGTATTGGACAGTACATATTCCCTCATGAACAATTTTCCTACATTTGGACTGATCTCTCTCTCTCTCTCTTTCCCTCTCTCTCTGCAGTCAACAAGAAGACAAAGAAAAGGCAGCCTCATTGGTCAGTGAAATAACAAAGAGAGCAGCTGACAAGGTAGTTACACCAAATAATGCTGATAGTGAGATGATGAGGAAAGGTGGGCTGCATGAGGTACTGGAACTGAGGTTCAAAGAACTGGAAGGGGAGGAAAGGAGTAACAGGAGGACGAGTTAGTTTCTGAACAGAGGAGAGGCCCTCCATCTTCTGAGAGGGCAGCCTTGGGTTTCCTTTTTCAGACTCAGGGATTTAATCTGTTTGGCTAATGGCTGCTCCATGGTATGAAGCTTCATCCATAACTATCAACCAAGGCATTTCAGCACCTTGACCCATATGGTATAATAGAAAGGGCTTTATACCTGAAGTTAGGAGACGTATCTGCCTCTGTCTTTCATATTCACTTTGGCTCTCTGGGCCTCCACTTTTTCCTCTCTACAATGAGGGAGTTGGATTAGATAGTTTCTATACTATTCTGTGATTCCAGGCAGAGCTGGGTCAAATGATTATGGGCTAGAGCTAAAAAAGACTTGAGAGGCCAAATAATTGAACCTCACTTATTTGACTGTTGAGGATAATGAGGTCCAGACAGGCTAGGGGACTAGCCTGTCATACAGGTTCAAAGTTATACAGGTAACGAATAGTAGAGGTAAAATTTGAAGTCCTCTGACTCCATACGGTATATCACACTGCCTCCGTTCCTCTTTCTGGGAGTTGATAGATATTTGTTTGTGCTAAGGACCAACCAGGGGGACTTTTTCCAAATGTTCAAGAGGTAGAGGTAGCCTGGGACAATGGAAAGAACACTAGGTCTAGAGTCAGAAGCCTTGGATTTGAGTTGTGTCATGGATTACTTTGGGCACACCACTTAACAATTATGTGCTTCCAGTTACTCATTTGTCAACTGAAGGGATGGACTAGGTGATTTCTAAGCATCCTTTCAGCTCTAGTTTCTATGAAACCTATGAAGCTAAACTGGAGGGCAGAGTATTTGAGGAAGAAAAGAAGGTTGTTTGGGAAGGGGAGGAAGACAGAGCTAGGAGAACCCTTTACCTCAGCAGCATCCTCTTGGTTTTCACAGGATCTGTGCAGTGAATTTCGAGACCAAGTGAGGGACGGGAAGCTTGTTTGCACCCGGGAGAATTCTCCTGTCCAAGGCCCTGATGGCAAAATACATGGCAACAAATGTTCCATGTGTGCCAGCATGTTGTGAGTATTTATGTGACACTCCTCCTGCTCCCTGCAAACAAAGGGCAAGACAAAAAACTCAGACCCCTAGCCCAGGACCTGGTGGATCTAGAAGAACTTGAGTGGTTTAGTGAAAGAGGAATCAAGAGTCAGGAGACCTGAGTTGGAGGTCTAGTTCTGTCACTAGCAGACTGTGTGACCTTGTTTTTTCACCTATACAATGAATGATGGGGATGGATCAACTGATCTTTAATGTTTCTTCCAGTTCTGACATTTTATGTTCTCTATAGCCTAAGAATCCCTCCAGCTTAGACATTCTGTTCTTCAAAAAAGAAATAATAAAGCTTTCAATGATTTGGTTTTTACCTAATCTATATTTCCTAATACATCCTTTCTCTTTCCCCTCCCAGAGAACCATTTCTTATAATAAAAAGTAAAAAAAGAGGAGGAAAAAACATTTTAGCAAAGCTAACCAACATGTCTTATAAGTAATGTTTTAAGGCTCCTTCCTTCTCCATGTTCTTCTGTGTCCTAAGGCTCTGTCAAGCACTGATACTCTTTGTTCTAAGTTTCCTTCTGGCGTCTGACTCTTTAACTCATTACAGTGGTTAGGGCACAACAATATAGATTCATTAATGACAAACCTTTCAAATGCAACCTGAAAATTAGCTGTAATAAAATAATCTAAATTAAAAGCAAAATATTTAAAATGAAAATGCTTTCTGCTGACCTCTACAAACTAATACAGCAAATATTTGGTTTTCATAGTTATAAAATCATAACCAAAAAATGGGCAACAAGTCTACAAATATCAGCATAATTTGAAGTCATTTTAGGGAAACATTTTTCTGTCAAGGGCTATTGATCCACTGAGTGAAATGAAAAAAAAAAGACAAGTGACAAATGACAATCAAAGACCACATACAAGGAAAAGATGATTTAATTAAATTTTAAAATTTATTTAAAGAAAAAATTAAATACTCAAACTTGCATGCTTTTTACATTAAGGAAGGGAGCACACAATTGTGTGTATATGTGTGTCTCTGTGTCTGTGTTTGCATGTGCCATAAATTGGAAAGGTCAAAGGAGAGAGTGGTCAAGGGAAGTAAAGGTTGTGTAAGAGGACAAGAGTAGAAAAGGGAGGGAACAATCAAAAAGGGAGAGAAAGACAGAGAGAGGGGAAGAAAAAGAGGCTGAGAAAGCAGGAGAGAAATGGGTAGAGAAAAAGTTTAAGTGGATTTTGAGATGAAGATTATTATTAATAATCTCTTCTTGGGACAGCATCATGTTCACCGTAAAAAGTGACCTTTGGGGGCAGCTAGGTGGCGCAGTGGATAGAGCTCCAGCCTTGGAGTCAGGACCTGAGTTCAAATCCAGCCTCAGACATTTGACGTTTACTAGCTGTGTGACCCTGGGCAAGTCACTTAACCCTGATTACCTCACCAAAAAAAAAGTGACCTTTGGCTATACCTGAATACAGAATAGCTCTTACTTTATAATACTTCAAAGTTAGTAAAGCACTTACCTCACAATATCTATTTTAAAAATAAGATTAACTCCTATTTCTATAAGGGTTTTTAGGCCTTTCTTCTCAGAAACCTTGAAGCTAGGTAGTATAAATATAATATCCATTTTATGGAAGAAGAAACTGAGGTTCAGAGAGGACAAGTGCCTGACCCAATATCACATAGTATATATGAGAACTAGGACTCAGAGTTTGATTCCAAATCAGTACTCTTCCCACAATGGTACACTGTTTTCCAATTAATTCCAATAAATTAGCATAAAATATGAATTAACTGATTAAACACTCCTCATAGCTCTTGAAATGTTTATCTTTAATCCTCTAGAGACTCTATTCTGACAGAGAAAATCATTCTCTTACCTGCAGCAGTGGGCATTCACTTGTATTACTCCTTCAGTGATATGAAATCTAGTCAAAGACTCAATCTAGCCTGAAGTTAATCAGGCAATCAACAAACATTTATGAAGCACTTAATATGTTCCAGACACTGCAGAATCAAAGCAAAACAACTCTTGTCTTCAAGGAGCTTACATTCTAGTGGGAAAAGAGGTTGTTTGCTCTGACTCTAGGCAGTTTAGTAACCAGTAATTTGGGGAATACTCCACCCCTGCTCTCTAAGACAAGCTGACATTCAATTCAGCCTCTGGCTTTCTCTCCTACATGCAGCAAACTAGAAGAAGAGGAAAAGAAAAATACAGAAGAGAAGAAAAAAGTGGAGGCAGAATACAAAGTTAAGAGAGAAACAGTGCAGGTAATTCCTTTCATACCCACTATCCTTTCAGTGTTTCCTCAAATAGAGTTTTTAGGTGAGCAAACATCTGAACCCTAGGGCTTTTTTCTCCCACTCTGGAATCTATCAAAAGAGTGCATACCCACACTTAAGAAATATGAAGTTCTGAAATAATATTCCATTACAGTGAGGTTGGTGGTGGTGGAAAGTTATACAGGCCCTCTGTAAACAAGCATGGTTATCCTTCGAGATACGAAGTTAACTGGTGGAACTGACTTAGAGGGTCAAGCTCTCTAGCTACTTAAGTCTCCTTGAAAATGGAAACCAGTTTCAAATACTCCACCCTTGCAGCTCTGTGTGGGTTGTTTGGGGGCCTGGGATTAGAAGGGAGTGTCTAAAATTGAATTCTCACTTTTGGGTTCTAAAGCAGTTGCTTGTTGTAGTGGAATGAGAATTAATCCTAGAGTCAAGAGCCTGGCTTGCCATCCAAGGTCTTCTATTTTTGTGTAACTGTTGGGAACCTGTTCTGAGCCTCAGTTTCCTCATCTGTAAAATGGAGATAATAATACTTCTAATCCTTGCCTCATGGGATTGTTATGAGGAGTGTACTTTATAAACTTTAAAGCGCTATAGAAATAGGAATATTATTATTGCTATTATTATTATTATGATTATGATTATCATTCCCCCATGACCAGGAACTGTGCAGTGAATATAGAAATTACATGAGGGATGGCCACCTCGCCTGCACACGAGAGAATGACCCCATCCTGGGCCTGGATGGCAAAATGCATGGCAACACGTGCTCCATGTGTGAAGCCTTTTTGTAAGTATAGGCTGAGTTAATAAAAGAACTGGAAAAAAGGGGATATCAACTTCTAGGGTTTGGAGTTAGGTGGGGTTTCCTAGAGTTGCTTACACTCAGTCTCTTCAGTTCTCCTGGTACCTTGGCTGACAGCAAAGACAATATCCTCCTTTGAGAGAATCTAGGACGGTGATAATCCATTTCTGTGTCGGGCACCCAGTACTCCTGAGCTAGGGATCCGGGCAATAGTTAAGGTTGACTTCCAGGATTTCAGAAGAACTTTAGCTATCATCCAGTTCAACCCTCATCATTTTATAGCCAGTGAAACTAAGTCTCAGAGGGCTTAAATAGTTTATTCATTTGAACTCAGATATCCTAATACCAGAATCAGAGATTCTTCTATTGCACTATGCTGACCCTAAGTGTTAGCAATACCAAAGTATCAGCCTTCTGCAATCTATAAGAATTAAAGGCGCAGTTGGGGCAGGGAATCTCCAGTTCTGATTTGTGTCTTGCCACTGGACCCAGATGGCTCCAGAGCAGAAAGTGAAGCTGGTGGCTTTGACTTTGCACAGCCCTCCCTCACTTAAATCCAATTCACTTGCAAGTCTTGGCATCATCTTCCTGATCAGTCCTCTTCGAGAATGAAGGACAAACAACAACAACAGGAATTAAGATAACCCCAAAAGTTGTTGGGTTATCTGCAGGAAGGAAATTTTTACAGTCACTTGCTTCTCCAAGGACATGTAGCACACTGTGAACTGCTGCAGGAGAGAACAATTGAGACATTACTTACTGGAAGTTTCCAGTGAATGTTCTGGCATCTTTATAACACTTCAGGGTTTGCAGATTGCTTTTCTTCCCCAAAGCCTGTGAGTAAAGAAGTACAAATATTTTCATCATCTCAATTTAATAGATGGCTGGACTGAGGTAGGAAGAAGTAGAGGAATTTATCAGGTCATGGAATTTAGTACCAGAAGGGATCTTAGGGATCATTGAGGCTAATCCACTGACCTTGAGAAGCAGTATGGTGGAGTGGATACAGTCCTGAACTTGGAGTTAGGAAGACTTTTGTCTTCAAATGCTACCTGAAACATATATCAGCTGTGGGACCACAGACAATTCATTTAATTCTCCCAGTCTCATTTTACATTTCTTTTTCCATGTATTTTTTATTTATTTCATTAAATATTTTTCAATGACATGTAAAAAAATTACACTCATTTTTTAAAAATTTGAGTTCCAAATTTTCTTCTGTCCCTCCCCCTGGAAGGCAAGCAATATGATATCAATTATACATGTCTTATTTTTTTATAATCTGCAAAATGATCACGTAATACATGCAGTAATTACCTAATTGTTTTTTTTTTTGGTGAGGATCAAGTGAGATAACATGTGTAAAGCATAAATATAGATTATTTTTTTTGTAGAGGAGGAAACTGAGACACAGAATAGGAAATTGACTTGCCCAAGGTAAGGCCTTAAGGAAGTAAACCTGAACCTTGTATCTTGGCCTCAAGTTCAACTACTTTCCACATTCCCAGGATATTTGTTAATCCAAACTTTATGAGAGAATAGACTTTGTATTTCTCCAATACTAAGAGCTTTCAGAGAGTATGGGCTAAGGAAATGTTGCCACAAGTTAGACCATTTCACCTCTTGAGCAATAGCCCTGTGCTTAGAAAATTCTTAAAATTTATTTATTTAGTTATTTTTTGGCAAGGCAATTGGGGTTACATGACTTGCCCAGGGTCACATAGCTAGTAAGTGTCAAGTATCTGGTCTGAGATCTGATTTGAACTCAGGTCCTCCTGACTTTAGGGCCGGTACTCTATCCACTGTGCCACCTAGCTGCTCCCAAATTTATTTATTTTTAACATTCTTTTTTAATTAAAAAAAATTGAGTTCTGGATTCTCTTTCCCTCACAACCCTCCTCCACCCATTGAGAAAGTAAGAAATGTGATATCGATTATACATGCAAAATAATAGAAAACGTATTTCCATATTAGCCATGCTGCAAAAAAAGAAATAAAAAGAAAAAAATACGCTTCAATCTGCCGTCAGACTCCATCAATTCTTTCTCTGGAGGTGGATATAGTTTTTCATCAATAAGTCCCTCAGAATTATTATTGGGTTATTTTATTGCTGAGAATAGCTAAGCCATAGTACAATATTGCTGTTACTGTGGACAATGTTTTCCTGGTTCTGCTCACTCCACTATGGATCAATTCATAAAAGTCTTCCCAGGTTTTTCTGAAAGTGTCCTGCTCATCATTTCTTATAGCACAATAGTATTTCATCACCATCACATACCACAATTTGGTCAGCCATTCCCCATTTGATGGGCATCCCCTCAATTTCCAGTTCTTTGCCACCACAAAAAGAGCTACTATAAATACTTTTGTACATATAGGTTCTTTTCCTTTTTCTTTGATCTCTTTGGGATATAAACCTAGTAAGGTTATTGCTGGGTCAAAGGGTATATATGATTTTTTAGCTCTTTGGGCAGAGTCCAAAATTGCTCTCCAGAATGGTTAGATCAGTTCACAACTCCACCAAGAGTGCATTTGTGTCCTAATTTTCCCACATCCCCTCCAACATTTGTCATATTTCTTTTCTGTCATATTAGCCAATCTGATAGTGAGGTGGTACCTCAGAGTTGTTTGAATTTGCCTTTCTCTAATCAATAGTGATTTAGAGCATATTTTCATCTGATTATAGATACTTTTGATTTCTTCCTTTAAAAACTGCCTGTTAATATCCTTTGACCATTTCAAATTGGGGAATGACTCATTCTTTTAAATCTGACTCATTTTGAGACATAAAATTTCTGAGAAATAAGGCCTTTATCAGAAAAAAAAAAGCTTCCTGCAAATTTTCCCCCCAGTTTCTCGCTTTCCTTTCAGATAGGTCTCCAAATCTGTTTTTTTTTCCCCCTCTAGCCAACAAGAAGCCAGAGAAATGGCAGCTTCAGAGGCAAAAGTAAAGGCAAAGAGAGAAGCAGACAAGGTAGTTATCAAAGCAATGTTAGTGTGGAATGAAAGTTCTTGCTCTGGTGATCCCCCATGCATATTTTCCCATGGGGAGCTGTCTGTGGTCAGAGAAACTAAATGGATTTGAAGGCTGATCAAGCTCTGAAGGAACAGTTGGAAGCTGGAGGGGGACTGGGGAAGCAGAGGAACTTGGAGAGAATGATAACCTTCCCTTGGTTTTCCCAGGCTTTGTGCAGTGAATTTCGAGACCAAGTAAGGAATGGGAACCTCATCTGCACCAGGGAAAATGATCCTGTCCAAGGCCCTGATGGCAAAATCCATGGCAACAAGTGTTCCATGTGTGCCAGCATGTTGTAAGTAAATGTGCTTGGATCCTGATAAATATGTGAGGAGCACTTTGGTAGGGATGCTATGGGGGGGGGGGCATTCTTTTTTAGAAGGGCATTGGGTTGTCTTTTGACCATCCTTCCAAATTCTTGATTCCAGAGTTCTAAGTGAACTCTGTTCTAAGTGGAAGAGGGGCTTGATGATCAGTGATAAATATGGGGAAAGAAAGAACAACAATAAATATGTTAAAAGTTGCACATAGCAAGGAGAGGGGAAGATATAGGAGGGGTAAAAATATGGAACAATTTGTTATTACTTTTAAGCTCTCTCTCCCACAAGAACACAAATAAATGCTTTAGAAAAACAATCCTGAATGGATAGAAATTCATGGCTTCTTATTCTTCTCTTCCTTATTGTTCATGTCTCAAGAAGTTTGTGATGTTGATGAGTGTTGAATTTATAATATATATGCATACATATACATAACGTGCATGTATATATATGTGTGTGTATGTATACATACACATACACATATACATATACATATACATATTCATATACATATACATATACATACATACAGTAAGTTGGTATGCAAAGGAGAACATGAATCCGGGATTCATGACATGTGACTCTAGAGTCTATGGAATCCAAGGTTGTGATTTCATCAGAATTAGAAAATCTATAAATAACCAAGTGTTTACTTTTCCTTTTAAATCATGGATGGAGGTGTATACACACATATACAAAAACAAACACACATTATTAAGGACTAATGACTCATGGAGAAAAAATTAAAATAAATCAAGGTAACATCAAGTAAAAAAACAACTGAATTTAGTGATTTAAAAATATTTTTGCCTAAAGATATGTAAAATACCCAAATCTCTTGCTTTTTTACATTAAGGTAAAAATTTCATATTATGTATCATATACATGTATGTATGTATGTATGTATGCATATTTATCTATTATCCTATCTACCTTAGGAGGAAAGGAATCAATGGAAGTTTGGGGTCAAGGAGACAGAGAAGACAAAAATAGGAAAACAAAGAATTAGGGAAAAAGAATCATTTGTTTGTTGTTATTCAGTCATTTTAGTCATAACTGACTGTTCATGACCCTATCTGGGGTTTTCTTGACAAAGATACTGTTCACCATTTCCTTCTTTAGTTCATTATATAGATGAGGAAACTGAGGCAAATAAGGTTAAGTGACTTGCTCTGGGTAATAAGCTAGTAAGTGTCTGAGGTCACATTTGAACTCAGGTCCTCCTGACTCCAGGGCTGGTGCTCTGTCTGCTGAGTGGCCTTTGACTCTAGTGTCTCTGGGCCTAGATTCAAAAAAATAAGCATTTATTAAGTAATGTCCTTGTACAAGGTGCTATGCCAGGCACTAGAAATAAAAAGATAGTAGTGACAGAATTTCAGGGTTGGAAGGGACCATTGAGGCTGTCTATTCTAATCCATAACTCTACAGAATTCCCACAACATTCTCAGGTGGTCATCTAGATTTCCCTTGAAAACCCATAGTGAGGTAGAAGCACGCAACATCCTGGTTATACCATTATGCTTTTAGAAGGCTCTTTGGGAAATAATGTTTTAAAGTACCAGAGAAGAAGCCATTGCATTGTAGGACCTCAAACTATATTATAAAATGATAATCATCGTAACTATTTGGTACTAGTTTAAAAAATGCCAGAAAAGAATATTAAATAAATAATCATAAGAAGGATCAAAAAGAGAAGGGGAGGGAAAATGAAGGACAGGAAAGAGTTACATTAGTTATATAATAAGTTATATACATTATGTATATATATTATATAATTAGTTACATAGTAAGAAGTTGTGAGAGAAGAAAAGAAATGAAAGAGGGGGAAAGGGAAGAAAGAAAGAAGGAAAGAGTAAAAAGAAATAGAAGAATATAAGAAGAGAGAAGAGAAAGAAGGCAAGAACATAGAGGGCCAGAGAATAGAAGAACAGAGAGTAGGCAAATAGGGAGAGAGGGAAGAAGAGTCATCGTGTGTTCTTGGTGAGATGGATGAACACCCTGGTGAACTTCAGATAATCTCACTGTTCCTCAAACATTGAACTAGCTGATTAACAAAGTGCTGCTCATGGTTCATCAGGTGTTCTAGTTCTGAAACCTCCAGACTTTATGAGGAAAGACTAGGAGGAAACTTGTCTAGGCTGTAGCAATCACGGCTGGATCAGTGTTACCCTTTGGTCCTGATGTCATCCCAACTGAACTACATCTGGCCTCGGGCAAGAGGTTGTTGGAAAGAAGAGATTCCCTGGGAAGATGGTGGCCTGGGATTCAGTTTCTCCCTTTTTCTCCTATGTGCAGCAAACTGGAAGAAGAAGAGAAGAAAAAAGCAGATGCAGAAAAAAAGGTTAAGAGAGAAGCAATTCAGGTAACTACTTTCACATCTTACCCTTCTTTCAATACCTGCTAAAGTCTTTGGAGACCCTCCCATAAAGAACAGCCACCAGTCATATATAGGTAGCCTCCTCTACCAACTGCATCTCATCTCTGCTACTGAAAGCCTTTGATGCCCATGGATCTTAGAAAGGGCAAGCCTTGCTCTTGTAAATGAAAGAAAGTTTAATATAGTAGAATACTGGATGGGGAATCAGAATGCTAGGTTCATATCTTAGCTCTGCTACTTACTTAATTATGTGAACTCGACTAAGTTTTTTTTCTCTCTCTCAGGTTCAGTTTCTTCATCTGTAAAAAGAGGGAGTTTGGTTAGGTGATATTTAAATTCTTTTCTGGCTCTAAATCCTATTAAGTAGATATTTCAAACACACACACACACACACACACATATAAACTTTTCCCCCCTTGTTAAAGCAATATGATTTTAGTTTTGTTATTCATTAGCTTGTAGGATTTAGAAAGGATTTTAAATGTTGTGTTATCTATTTCTATCATTTTACTTATATGGAATCTAAATCAGAGAGATTGTGGTTTTTATAAAGGTCAGTCAGGTAGTGAGAAGCCAAAATAGGATCTGAACCCAAATCTTCCAATTCCAAATCTAATGCCTTTCTAGGTCATGTTAAACATAGTACATGTAACATCTAGATCCCTGGACTGAAAGTCAGGAGATCTGGAAAGAAATTTCAACTCCATCCCTCTTTAGTAATGAAATTTTGACAAATCCTTTCCTTTGTCTTATCCTCAATTTCCTACTCTAAACAATGGGGATAATCTTACCTTTCCTTATGCGCAGGAGTATTCTGATGATCAAATGAAATTAAGTATGTGAAAGTAATTTATAATTACAAAGCTCTACGGGATTGTAAACGATGACAGCTACAACAAAAACAGTAATTATCCCTACTACTAATAATGACTTTAATATCTCAAAAGACCTATAACTTTGTCAGTGCTGCTATTCCTTTCACAAGTACAAATCATAGCCGTTCCCACCTTAGCAAAGTTTTCAGGTGTTTTTGTAGCTCAAAAAACTTTCTCCTCCTGGTGGCCAACTTATGGTGATGAGCATCATAGCATCTAGCTATGTTGGTCCTTAGACAACATTCTGTGGGGTCAGTATTTAAGCCTTCCCACCTTGGGAGGATCTGTTGGAGTTTGTATTCTTTTGGTATAGCCTTTGATAACCTGTTGACCCATCCATCTTAACATGTGACATTCACTGGAGGAGGATGTCAGGACTTGGTGGATGGAATGGTTATAAATCACTTCTGATAAATCCAGGGGAGTTTTTTATAGTGCTGGAGATGGAATTCTTAGTCATTTAATAGGCCAATCAAATATTTGTATTTTTCTGTGTCAACTGTTTCAAACAAAATTATTTTACCCACCTATTGTATGAACCATAGCAACCCCAAAGTTCTCTGTCCCATAGCTGATGATAACAAGGAACACTCATAGAGAGCTTTACATTCACTTAATACTTTATATCCATTATCTCATTGGATTGTCTCAGCTCTGGTGAGGAGTTGTATCCTGGAAAGGTAGCAAAGCAGAATACGAATTATTATCATCTCCATTCTGTGCAAAAAGAAACCAAGGCCCAGAGGGTTCATGTGGCTTGCCTGTGGACGATAGCATTATGTACTTAGAATTGGAAAGACTTAGAAGTCATCTACTCAAATCTCCTCACTGTACAAATGAGACAAAGCTTAGAGGTTTCAGCCAAGATCACATAGGTAGGATGTGGCAGAGCCTGGACAACCCGGTTGGAGAACTTCCTAGGACTTACAGGAGAGAATTGCTCAGGGCTCATCAGAGTTGGAGAATTAGTTTGAATCTCAAGGAGAGTAGGTAATTCTAAAGTGTATTGTATTTGGATAATTTGCCCTGGGGTTTACTTACTACTGTTGGAGGACTGCTTAGCTAGAGGCAGAAAATTGCTTTGCATTTACTCAGGGTAAAAACAAACAAACAAACAAACAAACAAAAACATTTAAAATTTTAATGGGGTGGAGAAGCACTCCACAGCTCCTGTCTACCAGAAATAAAGCATTGTTCCTGATTTGTTAGTGAGAAAGAATTGTCAGGAGTTTTCTAAGTAAAGCATTTCTTTTGAGTTCTGGAAGCAGAATATTGGGTTCACAGAATGCAGAGAATTACTTGAGGCAGGAAGGTAGTTTAGTAAATAGTTTTGTTTGTGACCCTAGTCCTGTCCCTTTGTGTCTTAGTATCCTCATCTGTAAAGTGGGAATAACAGTAGAATTTACCTCCCAGGGTTATGGTGATAATTACAATATTGTAGAGTTATTATAAGGAAAATATGTGACAATATTTATAAAGCACTTTGTAATTAAGCATTTATATAGCACCTACTATGTGCCAGGTACTGTAGTAAGGGCTTTTCGTAAATATTATCACATTTTTAATCCTCACAACGAACCTGCAATGTAGGTTCTATTATTATCCCCATTTTTCAGTTGAGGAAACTGAGCCAAACAGAGGTTAACTAACTGTAAACCTTAAGTACTATATAAATGCCAGTTATTATTTTTACTCTCAGTTGACTGGGAAACTTGAAATTAGGATCATAGTTCTTGAAATGGAAGGGACTTCAGAGGTCATCTAATGCAGTGGTATCAAACTCAAATAGAAACAGATCCTTGCCACTGCATATTGACTTTAGAAAACCACAAATAAACATTTTCTATTTTGTTTTCTATGTTTATTATATGCATATTATATTTAATTTAATTATATGCATATTATGTGTTTATTATTTATTGTAAAATAAACGTTTTCTATTTTATTTTGTTAAATATTTCCCAACTTCATTTTAATCTCATTCTGGCTAAACTCAGGAGTTTAGCTGGTTGCCCACTGGCCTGGAGTTTGACATCTCTGATCTAGTCCAAGCCCCTCACACAGGAAAGTGATTTGCCTAAAGTTACATAGATAGCATGTGGCTGAGGCAAAATTTGAACCCAGCTATTCTGACTCCAGAATTATAGGGTTTTCTTTTATTTTTCACTATAACCACAGGAGTCCAACTGGGTCAGAGGATTATTTTGAGTTTTCTTAAGATTTGTTGAGAGTGACAAAGGGTGGATAATGACACCGAGTTCAATGGGGACAGAAAATTTCATTCCAGTTCAGGGTAAGGGGTGAGACAAGGTGGGGAAGTGCTTTGAGTTCACAGGGGATAGGGAATTGCAATGGATAGAACTTCTAAGACTTTCCAATATCTATAATGAAATATATTCAAGCTTCACTGGGCTCATTTTGGGAAGACAGTTGATTGGAACTTTCTTGGAGCAAAGAATTACTCAAGATTTGATGAGGATGATCTTGGCTCATGGTTAACTGGAGAAGGAGAACTGCTCAGGTCTCACTGAGGGGTACAAAATTGTTGGGGAGTTCATTGAGGATAGTTTTCTGGGTGAGGTAGGGAATGCTTGGAGTTTGCTGGGGGAAGAAAATTATTGGGGAATCATAGAGAGCAGAGCCTAGCCTTGCTTTGTGCCTAATGTGTCTAATGGACCAAGCCCTCAGTTTATCTGTAATCCACAACTATAGATTCAATGTGCTGAGATACTTTGCCTAACAAGTCAAAGATTAACTGAGGATCCATTGTTCCCTGGGAGACTCAGTAACCTCCATGGCCATTCTAGACTCTTCCAGTCCTTTCCTGGACTGTGCCTAGTAGGCTATAAATAACATAGGCCCTGAGCCAGAGACTTAAGAACAGCTTGGTTATGAATAACCAGTATCTATAATACAATACCGAGCCCTGTCTTACTTCTCTCACCCATGGCCAGGAGCTATGTAGTGAATACAGAAACTATGTGAGAGATGGCCGCCTTGCTTGCACCCGAGAGAATGACCCCATCCTGGGCCTGGATGGCAAGATGCATGGCAACACGTGCTCCATGTGTGAAGCCTTTTTGTGAGTATGAGAGTCAAGAGATGTCTGCAGAAGAGCTTATGGAGATTGGGGAATGGAGGTTGGGAGGAGGTAGGTGCTCGGGGAAAGCAAGTCTGAATTATTTGTTCCTTTTCCTTGGTACCTTTGCCAAGGGTGGTCGTTGTCTGTGGTTGAAAGAAATCAGGACTGGGATACTCAATGGATGAGGCTCTCAGAGTTCTCAAGATAGAGCCTTATTCTTGTATATTTCTTCCTGGATGCACAATAGATGCTTGTTTGCTTACTGTGAATGTTCACTTAGTCAAAATCTAGCAAAGCCCAGGCCTATGGACCAGGGCCCTTTGTTCTTTGCCTTCCATGTCAAACATATCATTGAGAGACTAGTCCTCGTCTCTGACAGCATCCTGTACTTGAAATGATTCCTATTTCTCTCTCTTAAAGCCAACAAGAAGCCAGAGAGAAGGTTGCTGTCGCATCCAGAAAAATCGCGAAGAGAGAAGTTTCAAAGGTAGTTATCCAGGCAATGTTAAGCTGGAAATAACAGGCCAAGGCTTTGGATTTTTCTGCCATGATGAAACTTTATGGAAGTATAGAGATAGAGAATATAAAACATCAGAATTTAGAACAGTGAACATGAGGTCTTTTAAGGTTAGAAGGATCAGGGACTTGGAGTCCATCAAGTCAAATTCTGGCATGACAGATGAAGAAACTGAATCTCAGTGTAGTTAAATGACAAAGTCACATAGATACTATCACATATAGGGTTTATCGAATTATAGACCTAGAGCTGGAAGGGCCTCAGAAGTTATCAAATTGAATTCCCTCCTGTTACAAATGAGGAAAATGAGGTCCAAAGAAGTTGAGTGACTTGCCCAAGGTTATACAGGCAGTAAGAATCACAGATAGGATTTGCATCCAGATCCTCTGACTCCAGAGTTAGCATTCTTCCCTCTGTACATGTTTCTTGAGCTGTAAGGGAGCTTGAAACTGAATATCAGAGTGCAAAGTGAGCTTAGACCTATGGACATGGACCACTGGAGATGGAAGGATATAGTCTAAGCTGCAAGGGATGTGAGTACACAGAATACTGAAACAGAAAACATTGAACACCTTAGAGTGAAAGAAGAATGAATGAATGAAAAAACATTTATTAAATGCTAATTTTATGGAAGCACTGTGCTAAGCTCTGGGGGTATAAATTGAAGAGAAGCTCTCAAGGAGCTGGTGTTCAAATTGGGAATGATAATACATATAGCAGAGTTCAGCTATAGGGTAGGTAGAAAGGCCTGGGGGGTCCTAAAGATGCATATAAGGGGCTGATAACAAAGCCCACTGTCCTTAGTATATATCAAAATGTTTGCCCCATAGGAATATCTCACAAACATTGGGAAGGAGGGGGAGGGTCTAAAGGTCAGGAGGAGAGTTCTTGGTTCCCTCCAGTAGAGAAAGGGATAGAGGCCAGGAGAGTAAATGATTAAGGTACGATGGTAGGAAGGTCAGGAGTGGGCAGACTAGATAGTCTCTTGGGATCCTTCAAGTTCTAGATCTATCCTTCTTGTATCTGCTTTAGGACATAATCAGCTGCTAATACTATATGTATAAATGTAAAATAGTAGAAAGAGTGCTGTATTTTTAGTCTATTTTGCCTCCTAATATCTTTCTGACCTTGGGCCAATCATTCACTTTCTATTGGTCTTAGAGTTCTAATTTGTAAAATGGACCAGATTGACTTCTAAGGTCCATTAAGTTCTGTGTGACATCCTAGGGAGGAAAGATTATTGTTAACTTGGGTGAAGGGTGGATCAGGGAAGGCCTCTTAGAAGAAGTGTTCAATCCACCTCTGTAACATGATTCCCCCTGTCAGCAACCTCATACCAATTTTTCAATGCCACCTTCTAGGACTATTGCAACAGTCTCCCAACAAGACTTGTTGCCTCCATTTTCCCTGCATTCCATTTCATCTTCCATGCAGTATTAGATACATGTCCTTATGCAAAGATCTGATTAAAAAGTGACTATGGTTCCCTATTGCCTACCAAGTAAATCTCAACCAGTCATTCAAGGACTCTGACAATTAAACACCTCCACCCAACCATTCCAGCTTTATCTCTTTTTACTTCCTTTCCCTCAGTCAGGTCAAAGGACTTCTTCCTTCTCCCGGAACAAACTAGGTACTATCTTCTCTCCGTGTCTTTGATCATTTCTTTCCCTTTTCCTGATACTCTTTTTTCTCTCATGTCTTAGCTATTGAAATCATTCTCATAATTTGGAGTCCATCTGAAGTGTCACCTCCAAAACAGTGACATGTCCCCAGTCAGTAACAATATTACCCCCTTGGACTTCACATAGCATTTTGCTTGAACCTGTCTAATGCAAATACCACATAATCTTATGCATTAAATGTTTCTTGGTGTCTTATGCCTCTATTAGATTATCTGTTCCCAGAGGGACTATATTATCTCAACTTTGCACCTTTCTCAGTACACTGTAAGGTGTGGAAGATGTGCAGGGTACTGAATAAATAACTATTGGATCAAATTGAATTCAGCGAGATAGCGATGAATCATGTGAGACAAGACTAAAAAAGAAGGCTCTCAGGGAGCTTTGAATGTCAAGTTGAGGAGTCTGGCCTTTATTCTCTAGGCAACAGAAGACTTTGTAGGCTTCTCAGAGAGGGGAAAGATGATGTAAGGTAAGCCCTCAGATTGTTCCTGTAGACAAAACAACCCTGTAAGAGAAAATTCTATTGAAACTCATTTCTAGGGAGAATTTCTAGAGGGCAACAGATATCAAAAGAGATAGAGCCTAAAAGAGAGCCTAAAGCTGTTTAAAAATTTTTATAAGGACAACTTTTGCACTTATATTGCCTTTACTTCTGAATATAGCTCTCATTCCTCCCTCTCCAGAGAGCAAAAGGGGGAGGAAACAAAGCAATTTAACAAAATGAACTAATGTATCAACTGAGTTCATGCATTTCCTTATCTCTTCTTTCAGGTCAAGTGTGGTCTTTATGATTACCCAATGTCAAGTTTCAGGCTGTTATTGTTCTTTCCCTTTACGTTTTGCAGTCAGTAGGGGATCTAAAACTCTTAACTTGTCCTACGACAAACCTCTCCTCTTTTTTACTTGTAAATGGAGGGAAGGGCTGCCCATTTTTATACCACAGGTCTAGATAATCAAATACCAAACCTTCATACACACACACACACACACACACACACACACACACACACACCCTAAAAAACAACAAACAAAAAACCTTGAGATTATGAGACAGTCTTTAGATCATAATCATTATAAAAAGAACTCTGTATCTATTTAATTACAGTCACTGATCACTCACAGACAATTCCCTCCAGTGGCTGTATAGAATCACTGGGATTCACTAAGTGAGTTAAAGGTTGGACATTTCAGAGCAATCCCACAGCTATGAAATGGTTGAAAGCTTATTAGACCTGAGAATTGGGGGAGGGGGCGGTGAGCTTTAGTTCAGGTTCTTCCACCAAGCACTCCTATGGCCCTGGGCAGGTCATTTTTGTTCTGACAGGTCTCAGGGTCTTCCTTTGAAAAACTAGGAGACTGGACTAGACTCTGCTTGGGGTCCTTATTACAGTGAATGACTTACCTCCCTTCTAGCTCTGACATTCTATGTTTTCTGTCCTAAGGTCCACTTAAGTGCTGACATTCTAAAGTCCATTCAGAGACTCCATGTTTGTGATCTAAGTTTTAAAGTTCTAGGAATCTCTGAAATACCAAGGTTACCATGATTCTTTTCTCTTTGTAGGATGCATGTGATGAATTTCGGAGTCTGGTGAATAATGGAAACCTTTTCTGTACCAGAGAAAATGATCCTGTCCGGGGCCCAGATGGAAAAACACATGGCAACAAGTGTGCTATGTGTAAAGCTTTGTTGTGAGTAGACACAGTGAGGAGCTTGAGGTACTGGTGTTATACGTGGGACTCTGTTCTGCTAGCCAAAGCTCAGATGCTCAGTGACTTGATTCCCAGCACTTTCTGTGCCTCTTCTCCCCCACCAGTAAACTCCCCTAGTAAACTCTTCAGGGAAATACAAAATAATAGAAAAAAATGCAAATACATACATACATACATATACACATATATACATACATATATACATATATATATACATATATACGTGTGTGTGTATATGTCTGAACTGGGGATTTCTTTGGTGTATGGCACTCTTCATATGGAAACTCCTTCCACCAATGTTGATTAACAGTTCATCTGCAATGTGTAGTCAAAAAAAGTTACCTGGGGGGCACTGAGATGTTAAATGACTTGCCCATTGTCACACAACCAGTATGTGTCAGAGGTAGAACTTGAATTCCAGGCTTCCTGACTCCAAAGTCAGACCTCTGTCCATCCTGCCATGTTGAATCTCAGAAATAACAATAAAGGTATGGATTTTACAATACCCCTGGTAAAGCAATGGGTTGTAGTGGGAAAGAGCACTGAATCTGGAGTAAAGGGACCTGAATTTGATTTCATAGTTATCTGAGCCAAGCATCCTAACTCTGTAGGTCTCATTTTCCTCATTTATAAAATGAGTTAGTCAGTCAACAATCATTTATTAAATGCTTCCTATATGTCAGGCACTGTGCTAAGCCCTGAGAATAAAAATAGCAACAAAGGCAAAAATCAGCCCTTGACCTCAAGGAGTGTACATTCTAAAGGGAGAGACAACATATCAATTAGGTACATAAAAGACATATTCAGGATAGATAAAGATAGTATGAAAGAGGAATGTGAATGCATCAGCAGCTGGTGGGACTGGCTCCTGCAGAAGATGGAATTTGAACTGAGTCTAGAAGGAAATCAGGTAAACTAAGAGATAGAGGAGGCAAAGGAGGAGGCATAGGGAATAGCCAGTACAACGGTATGGAACCTCACAGATATTCAACCATATACTCCATCTCTAGTCAGTGTAGTTGGAACCTAGAGTGGTGGAGGGGAATGAGGTGGGAGAAAACTGGAACTCTAGAAAGGGACATTTAAGTTGATATTCTCTAAGGTCTCATGGCTCTTAAGCCTGAGATAAGGTAGGAAGTAAAGGTATTACCCACATTTTACAGATAAGGAAACTGAGGATCCATGAGGTGAAATGACCCAGATCTTTCCTCTACTCAATGCTCCTACAATTCATAGAGTGATCACTAATCCTAACGTAGCCCACAAAACATAAATACAGTGATTATAGAGTTGGTTTGTTGTCCTTTGTTCTCAAAGAGGACCAAAATGACATAAATATGCTAGAGTCAAGTTATAATGCATCTGACTATGGCTGATCAGGCCAAGATGAGCTCAGGAATGCTCTACCATGGGTCAGGCACAAATAGTCCACATGAACGTTTGGGGTGGATTCTCTAAATTTGTGCATCTCACTTTTCTTTTGTGCTACTTCAATTCTGCTTTGCTTATAGAGCACAGCCCCTTCTCTGATGAGGGCACGCCATGCTAGGTAGTGCTGTGCCAATGTCACAATCAATTCCAAAATTCTTTTTTTTTTTTACCAAATGTTTCATTTTAATAACATGCAAAAATGATAAAAAAACTATCAAAATATGCAAATGTACATTCTATTGCAAATATATTGTTGCCCTTTATTTAATGGGTTTATTATTTAAAAAAATGAAATTCTCAGTGCTAAAGAGCTTCTTTTAACAAAAATAATATCAAGAACATATTCTTGACAGCAAAGGATACAATTTTGCTGGCTTCTGATCTTCTCCCCATTGCTTGAAGCACTAAGCTACTGGTTTGTTTTTTTTTTTTAGTCTTTTTTTTAATTATCTAAGGTGTTTTAAAAAAATAAACTTTTTTTTTTTAGTTTTCAACATTCACTTCCATAAGATTTTGAGTTCCAAATTTTCTCCCCATCTCTCCTCTCCCTTCACCCCAAGATAGCATGTAAATTGATACAGGATCAACATATACAGTTATATTAAATCTATTTTCACATTAGTCAAGTTGTAAAGAAGAATTAGAATTGATGGAAAAAATCACAAGAAAGAAGAAATGAAAAAAAGAGAGAAAGAGAACAAATAATATCTTTTGATCTGCATTCAGACTCCATAGTTCTTTTTCAGGATGTAGACAGCATTTTCTATCATGAGGTTTTTGGAGTTGTCTTAGATTCTTGCATTGCTAAGAAGAGATAAGTCTATCAAAGTTAATCATCACACAGTGTGGCTGTTACTGTGTACAATGTTCTCCTAGTTCTGCTCATTTCACTCAGCATCAGTTCATATAAGTCTTTCCAGGTTTTTCTGAAGTCCACCTGCTCACCATTTCTTATAGCACAATAGTTTTCCATTACATTCATATACCACAACTTGTTCAGCCATTTCCCAACTAATAGGCATCCCTCATTTTCTAATTCTTTGCTAACACAAAAAGAGCTGCTATAAATATTTTTGTACATGGGGTCCTTTCCCCATTTTTATGATCTCTTTGGGATACAGATCTAGAAATGGTATTGCTGGGTCAAAGGATATGCACAGTTTTATAGCCCTTTGTGCATAGTTCTAAATTGTTCTCCAGAATGGTTGGATCAGTTCACAGCTCCACCAACAATGCATTAGTGTTCCAATTTTCCCACATCTTTTCCAGCATTTATCATTTTTCTGTTTTGTCATGTCAGCCAATCTGATAGGTGTAATGTGGTACCTCAGAGTCATTTTGATGTTCATTTCTCTCATCAATAGTGATTTAGAGCATTTTTTTTATATGACTATAGATAGCTTTAATTTCTTCATCTGAAAACTTCCTCTTCATATCCTTTGACCATTTATCAATTGGGGAATGACTTGTATTCTTCTAAATTTGACTCAGTTCTCCATATATTTTAGAAATGAAGCCTTTGTCAGAGACACTGGTTATAAAAATTCTTTCCCAGTTTGCTGCTTACCTCCTAATCTTGGTTGCATTGACTTTGTTCAAAAGCTTTTCAATTTAATGTAATCAGTATTGTCCATTTTTCATTTCATAATGTTCTCTATCTCTTGTTTGGTCATAAATTCTTCCATTTTCCATAAATCTGACAGGTAAACTATTCCTTGTTCTCCTAGTTTGCTTATAGTATCAGACTTTATACCTAAATTGTGTATCCATTTTGACTTTATTTTGGTATATGATGTAAGATATTGGTCTATGCCTAGTTTCTGCCATACTATTTTCTAGTTTTCCCTGCAGTTTTTGTCAAATAGTGAGTTCCTATCCCAGAAACTGGAGTCTTTGGGTTTATCAAATAGTAGGGCTGGTCTTTGCATTGACTTCCATCTACCTTGAATCATTTCAGACCAGGTCAAGCATGTGTAAAATAAGGCTGGCTAAAAGGGGTACTTTCCTTGGAAGGCTAAGACCTGGAAAAGAGATAAAAGTATACAGAAGCCACATTAGAAACAGTGTCTTCCCAGAAATTTTACTAATAGTATAGTCATTGACTACTGTGTCTTGTGTATCTAACCTATTCCACTGATCCACCTTCTTAGCCAGTATCAAGTAGTTTTGATGATTGCTGCTTTATAATACAATTTAAGATCTGGCATGGCTAGGCCACCTTCCCTTGTATTTCTTTTCATTAATTCCCTTGATATTCTGGACCTTTTGTTCTTCCAGATGAATTTTGGTATTATTTTTTCTAGCTCTATAAAATAACTTTTTGGTAGTTTGATTGGTATGACCAATTCCAAATTCTTAAGAGAAACCTTAAGAGAAACCTTGTATTGCTTCTCCTCACCATTATGTAAGTACTTGCTTTATGTGAGTTCTCCATAAAATATAAAGTTACCCCCTAGACATATGTGTTAACTTGGATATTCCAATGCATATTTCACATTTTGCAATCTCTCTCCCACTTTGTACTTTCCAGCCAGAAAGAACATGAAGAAAAAAAGAAAAAGGAGGATGAAGACAGAAAGAAGAAAGAAGATGAAGATAAGAGAAATGCTGAAGGAAACAAGCAGGTGGGTGATGGAGCAGGAAAACCCAAGGTGAGAGGCATCTTTGAGCAAAGTGAATTCAGCTTTTTGCATTCAATTGACCTAACTGTATGAAAATATAATTTGGTTCAGAGCCTGCTGAGCAGGAGTGTATGAAGCCTGGATTCACTCACTCATACAGTCATAAGGTTAAAAGCTGGAAACCATCTTAATGATCATTTAAATCACATTATACAGAGCAGAAAATCTAATTCTTAAAAATCTAAAGATTATTAGCTCTGTTTTACAGAAGAGGAAATTGAAGCTTAAATGTCACCAAGGGTCACCTAGGGCACCTCACATACTTCCCTCATCATCAACTTGGATATTTCTTCCTAACCACTGAGTTTAGCAAACTGATTAAAGAACACAGTCAGTCAATTACTATAGCAGACATAGTCTCTCTCTGCTCACTATTTCAGGACCCATGTGCTGAGTTTCGGAAAGAATGGAAAAAGGGAGGTCTCAGTTGTACCCGTGAGAGTGACCCTGTACGTGATGCTAGTGGCAAATCCTATAATAACAAGTGTGCCATGTGTAAGGAAATTCTGTGAGTATCTGAACATGTCTGCAGCAGGTAGTTGTTGAGGGGAGAAGTGGGGTGGAAGGTACATCTCTGGGCTCTGGTAGGACATCCTTCCTGAAATTTACAGGCCTAGAAGTAAAGGGACTGATATTGGTTCTTTCCAAGCAAATGCTTCCTAACTATCAGAGCTCTCTCCAAATAAAATAGGTTGCTTGTGGAGGATGTGATTTCCCTTCCCAACAGGCAAAGCCATTTGATGATGGGATGGGATGACTCCCAGGATAATAAGCTCCCTGTTACAGGACTTAGATGTTCCAGTGGAAGCTGACTAAACCATTATCAGGGCACCAATAGTGGGAAAGTCAGGAAGCCGTCATGGGGTGGGATCCTGGACTTGATAACTTCTCAGACGTCCCCCTAGTTTATGAGCCTTTGATGTTACACATCTCTTGAAGATGATCTGTTTCTATTCACCAGACAGAACTTTCTCTCCTCCATCTCTTCTAGGGCTAAGGAAGATGAGGAGAACAAGAGAACTACCAATTTCAAGAGTAACAATAGTACTACCTCTCTAAAGGTAGGTTTTCCTCTGACAGTGGTAGGGCTGGACTTGGCACAAACTTCCATCTACCTTGAACCATCTCAGAACTGGTCAAGCATGCATGAAATAAGGCTGGGTAATAGGGGTACTTTCCTTGGAAGGCTAAGACCTGGAAAAGAGATAAAAGCATACAGAAGCTGCATTAGAAACAGTGTCCTCCCAGAAATTTTACTAATCAATCAGCAAATATTTATCCATAAAGCACCTATTATGTACCCAGGGAGTGGGGACACAAAGACAAGAATCAAATCTTCTTTGCCCTCAAGAAACTTATATTCAATAAGAGGTTATAATATATGTACATCCAATTACATACAGAATATACACAAAAGAAATAAACAGTGAGAGGGAGGGTGCTAGCACCTGGGGCATCAGGAAAGGTTTTGCATAGAAGGCAGTGCTATGGATATCACAGAAAGCTTAAGGAAAGAATCTGGACTGTCTATTTCCAGGAATCACAGAATCACAGAATCTGACTATTTAAAGGGAGCTCATTGGACATATAGTCAATTAGAGGTTTCCTTCATGAAAGAAATCTCTTTGTGATCTTGGGCAATGGTTGGCCTAGAAATCTTCTAAGGTATCTTTTAGCATTGATATGCTAGGGATTCATCCAACTCTAAATACTATGACTCTATAAACCCCACTCAAAGGAAAGTGAGGATACCACATTTCAGCAGTTTAGGACTAACTCTCTGCCTATCGACATAACTGTTTTCCTTTAAGTTCAAACTAAAATCCCATCTTCTACAGGAAGTAGGAAGTAATTCTAGTTCCTTTCTTCTCTTACTTAGTTCCTATTTATCTTGTTCACAGCTTGTTTGTACATATTTCTATGTCCCTCTTCTTTCCCTTACAATGTGAGCCCCTTGAGGAAAGGAATTATTTGCACCTCTTTTTGTATTACCAGTGCTAACCATCACACCTGGCACATAGTAGGCTCTTAATAAATGTTTATTGACTGACTAAATTCATCCCACATGTGAAATCCTTTCTGAGACAGCTAGGCATTTCTCATCTGTCTTTCCTTACAGGCCAAGTGTGATGAATACCGTAGCCAGATGAAAGATGGGAAATTGATTTGCACACGAGAAAGTGACCCAGTGCGAGGCCCTGATGGCAAGACCCATGGCAATAAATGTGCCATGTGTAAAGAAATATTGTAAGTATAGTAAAGTGGTGACTCCTTGCAAACAGGGGGCTCAGGCTGTTCCAGACATTCAGCTCCTATCAGCTTAGAGCTGATTTTGAGCAAGGGCAAATGGAGAGAATGAAACAGCTCAATTCCATTCAATTCAGTCAATATTTCTGAAGGGCCTACTATGTGTGAAGTTCTGCGCTCAGAGTGAGGATACAGGCAAAGATAGGACGTAAGGCCTACTCTCAAGGAACCTCCAATCAAATGGGGAAAAGGGCAAGAACCCAGATAGCTGAGAAATGAGGGAATGAGACAAGTGCACATCCAGGCCAAGTGCTGAGGGCCTATGCTTTTGGAGGGCCTGGGTTGGGCACCAAAGCCACATAATATAGTAGATAAGGGGGCTGGACTTGGAGGAAGAAGACAAGTGGTAGAGTGTCAGCTCCATCTTACTCGTGTTGTAACTCTGGGTAAATCACTTTTTTTTAGAACCTCAGCTTCCTCATCTGCCAAGTGGAGATGATAGTAACTAGGCTTCTCGTTTCACAGGGCTGTTGTAAATTTAAAAACTATAGAAATGGAAACTTTTAAGAACAATAGGGTTTTGTTCCTCATGGAACAAGGCCTCAAGCATACATTGGGCAGCTAGATAGCTCAATGAATAGAGTGCCTGGCCTAGAGTCAGGAAGACTTATCTTCCTGAGTTCAAATCTGGCCTCAGACACTGTGTGATTTACTACTAGCTGTGTGACTCTAGACAAGTCTTTTAATCCTGTTTGTCTCAGTTTGTCTCAGTTTCCTTACTGTAAAATGAGCTCAAGAGGGAAATGGCAAGCCACTCCAGTATCTTTACCAAGAAAACCCCAGATGGAGTCACAAAGAATTGGACATGAGTGAACAATAAACAACAAATGCATATATAAATAATAGCGACATAGGTCATTTGGGATGAGTGCCAATAGCCGGGTGCAAACAAAGTAATTTAAGTTTAGAGGAGGAAAGGATCAGTTCTACCTGGGATAAAATGGGAAAGGCTTTTTTGAGAGGAGATCATTAGAGTAAGAACCTAAAGGGTCTACTTCAATCCTTTAAGCCTTTGCCAAGTACCCTCTATGTATACGGTATTGTGCTAATTTCTGGGGTTACAAAGACAAAATGAAAAATGATCTCTGCACTGAGAGATATTGCATTCATTGGGAGGAAACAAAATCTATAAAGATTGGTAGGTACAAAATAATTTGAGATTGGAAAGAACCAATAATAAACCAGTGTTTATTACTAGAAAATATGGTTTCAAGAAAGGTTTTAGGTAGGAGATGACACCAGAACTGAAATAGAAAGGAAGTTAAAAATTCTACCAGGTAGTGGTGAGGGGGGACTATATTATAACAATCAATGATAACTCAGGAAAGGGGAAGGAGGCAGTAGATGGAACATCAAGCAGGCCAGAGAGAAGGAATGGTATGAGCAAAGTCATAGGCAGACATCCAGAGAAGACATGGTATGAGCAAAGTCATAGATAGTAGAAAGCACACACAGTGCTCCAGGTCAGTAGTCTAGCCTGGCTTGCACACAATAATCAGAGGGATATGATCAGAATTAAGGTTAGAGGGGGTGGTTGGGGCAGGTTGTAGAGATAACTTCATGGAGACAAGCTGGTGCTATGAAAAGAGTATGAGAGTTCTGGAAAGTGTTTTTTATTGTGTACTAAGATGAACATTTGACTTATATTTAGAAGAGACCTTAGAGGTTATGAAATCCATCCTCCTTCATTTGGTAGATGAGGAAACAAACCAATAGACAGAAAGTATCTCATTTAAAGTCATGTAGCTAGTAAGTAGTAGAATGGGGGTTTGAACCTAGATCCTTTGATGCAATCCTTCTGCCTTCAACTGTGATGATACTATGTATGGGTTATGGCATTAGAAAATTAATTAAAGTACTACAAAAATAAATTTAACTCAACCATTGGTAAGTTCAAGAAATATTTGATATAGAACTGGAAAGGACCTTAGGCCATCTTCCTCTTTTCAGAGATAAGAAAATTGAGGCCCAGAGGTGTTAAGTGACTGGCCGCGGGGGCCACAGATACTTAGAAGAAGGCCTGAGATTCAAACTTAGGCCATTTGAAACCACAATAAGATCATTTTCTACCGTACCATACTCCTCCCTTTGCAGAAGTCAATTCCCCTTCTCTCCCTCTTTCTTACAGAGAAAAGGAAGCTCAAGAAAAGAAAAACAATGAAGAAAAGAGCAGCAAAGAGAAGGTAAGAGGCAACCCACTGTGATTTAGTGACTCAGTGACCAACAGATGAGAGTGGCAAATATTACCTATATCTTCAGCCCATTCATTTGGACATAAGCTTCCTGTCTTTGGATTCTGTAGGACTGGCCAAGGGCTGGTATACACACACTTTGATAACTCAGAGATTGTAGTGTCTGAAGGAAAAGGGAGATAAATTTAGTAGTTTAGGCTAAAGTACTAGCTCTATCACTGGCAGCACCCAGAGACAGAAATTACTGGGACAGGCTGATATCATGCATCTGGAGACCTGACCTCCAATTCTAGCATGACTGCAAACTCACCGTAAGACTTTGGGCTAGTGACTTCTCCTTTCTTACAGAATCAGAGCTGAAAGAAACTTCAATGATTATTTTACTTAATAGTTTTATTTCACAGATAAAGAAGTGAGGCCCAGAAAGGGACATTGACTTATCCCCAAGATTCTGCAACTCGGTAGAAGCCTGGGTTTGAATCTTGGCTCTGTCAATGTCCTAGTTGTGTTCTTCCAATTTTGTATGATGATGACTTAGCCTGAATGTAAATATTCTTAGTCTCATTTGACTAATGAGAAAGCTAGTGTTGTGGAGATAACACCTGGTAAGCTATTTGGCCCTCTGTAAATTTAAGCAATGAACCTAGTGATGAGTCTAAGAGACAACATGTTATAGTGGAAGGAGTGAATTTAGAGTTTGAGACCCGGAATGAGAATCCTGGCTTTGCTGTTTACTAACTGTGTGACCTGGGGCAAGTGCCTTCATCTCTTTGGACATGAGATTCCTCTGATAAAAAATGACTGGGTTGCACTAGGTGAGCCCTAAAGTCCCTTTGGCGCTCTCCTATAAGGTGATCTTAAAGAATGAAACAGCCTTTTAACTTGGGGCATGAGCGACATCTAGTGTTCAGTGTGGAACAGAGCAAACAAAGGTTGGCCCGCGTGTGAGGATAACAGCAGTATTAACAGCTCATGCTTCTTTATAACGTTGAGGTTACAAAGTATTTTCCCCTCAACAATGCAGACTGGTGAAATCCAAAATTAAGGTGGAAAAATACGTTACTATGTTCATCTTCTTGATACCAGTATAGGAAGATGGGGGCTTCTCCATTCTGCCAATAGAAAAGATTGGAAGAAAAGGCCATTAGGTATCAAGGTGCAATGGAACGAACACTGAATGACGTGGAGAGAATTGGGCTCTCGTTTCAATTTTTCCATGAACTCCTCCTTGAACAAGTCACTTCCTTTAGTTGTGAGCTTCAGCTTCCTCATCCTTAACAGCTACAGTCAGCGGATAGAGGGCTGGACCTGGAGGCAGGAAGAACTGAGTTCAAATATGGCCTCAAATACTTTTCATATGTATGACCCTGGAAAGTCACTTAAACTCTGTTTATCTCAGTTTCATTATCTGTAAAATGGGGATAATAATCGTACCTACCTCCCAGGGTTGTTGTGAGGATCAAACTTGAGATAATTGTAAATTATGCTTAGCACAGTGACTGGCACATAGTAAGTGCTCTATAAATGTTAGCTATTATGGTTATCATTGTCATCGTCACCATCATCATCATCGTCATCATCATTATCATCATCATGAGGGACTTGAACTGGACAATTTCAAAGGTTGCTTTTGGTTCAGAAACCCTATTTCCTAGGCTCTAACATCTTCTATTAGTGGCAGACATATAGCTAATGCTCCAAGTGCTGGACTCAAATCCCAGTCAGTCATATAGTTACGAACAACATACCAACCTTTAGAACTTCAGTTTCTTCCTCTGTAAAAATCAAGATAATGATACTTCTAGAGCTACACTGAAGACTTATTTTGGTACTTAAATGAAATGATGCATGGAAAGTACTTTATAGGATATAATTATTGTATGATGTGATAAGTGATTGTGTTTATATATGCATATACACATTATATATCTCAAAGATATCTCCATCTATCTCTATATCATCTATTGATCTTAACTTTTGGGAAACCCTGGAGAGAAGATATCTATATAAATATATCCCCAGAGTGTCATGTCCCAAAAGTCTTAGGGTAGTCTTGGTTCATATCTTCCTAGGTAGATATAGGTATGTACATATGTATATGTATATGTATATATGTGTGTATCTATCTTTCCCCAGGGTATGTATGTCTAAGTGTATGCATGTATGTATGTGTGTTTGTATATACACACACACATATATACCACCTGTATATACCTTATGTAAAGCATATAGCAATTATATATATATATACACACATATGTATATACACAGATATGCATACATACATATATACAGGCTCTAACATACACATTATTGTTATATGCTTTATATAGGATATATAGAGGGGGTTTATGTATTTATGTAATTATGGTCTAAAACCAGCCTAATCATATTTGAACCACTCAAACTTACCTTGAATGATAACATATTTTCTTAAATCAACAGGACCAGTGCAGCGAGTACCGCAGTCAAATGAATAATGAAAAATATGTCTGCACCAGAGAGAATGACCCCATTCGAGGTCCTGACGGCAAAATCCACATGAATAAGTGTGCCATGTGCCAAGCTGTGTTGTGAGTAATGGGGTCTGCAAATGGGCTGATAGTCCCAAAGTTACTACCTTGGGTTAATCTCTGTCTCTCTGGGTCTCCTTTCCATCTTCTGTAAAATGATAGGGTAAGATTAAATAGTCTTTAAGGTCCTTTCAACTTCTGTATCAATGATTTTATGAACTTTTGTTATAATCAAACATGTTGGGTCCTCATCTGGCTACAGGGTTTACATCCATGACTATGTATCTACAAGGCTCAGATGTTTAATGGAAGTTGAATTTCAAGAAGAATTTCTAAAATGGTCATGGATTTGGAAAGGGTCTTTCCTTTTTATTGTAATTATAGTAAAGCTAGGTCTAAACAAATTAATCTGGAGAACTGAAGCTGCCATTTCACAGTAATTAATCACAAGTTTCCTGGGACTGGGTTAATTGATTGTATTATTTACATTGATTTACTTACCAGATAAACTCTTAATTTGATGAAGTAGAAATGAGCTTTGATAAACATGATGGGGAGCTACTGGAAACTTCAACTTATAAATCTGTCAACCCAGTTGACATTGTCAACCTTTCTCCTGAAAACCTGATACCTTATTTAGGTGGGATTCCCAATAGGCGGGGGGAATACAAAATTCCACTACCCCGCTCAATATCCTTCCATTTCCACTCAGTTGTGAAAGAAAATGTTCTCAAGTAGGGAAGGGGCTGACTTTCACAGTTGAATCCTCAGTCACCATTCATTCTTTTTCTCAGGGGTACCTCATAGCTCTGAACTGATGTTGGGGTAGTGCCATTCATTCCACCTCCACATATGTAAAAATGCCTCGGTTAGGAAGACAGCCTGGGGTCTCAGTAGAGAAAAAAGTGAGAGCAAACAACTCAGCAGAGATGGCAGCATATACTGGAAAAATTTACTTCTCTGTGACTCCCATAGAAACTCTTAACCTCAATTCCTTGACTCAGGTTTGTCAGATGTTCAGTGATGACTGGACAGACTCCAAAAACTTGGATCTGATCCGATATTCACTTTTACAGTTTTGGTCTAATTGAATTAAAATAAGACAATCATTCATTTTACCTGAATTTCCCTACCCTGAGTGGGGAGAAGAGGTCTTGAAATCCCTACTAGCCAAGTGCAAGCTCTGGCACATGATACCCAACTGGGAATGACTTTGAGTACAGGCCTAATGAGTTCAGGCTATATGTGGGGTCCAAGGGCCACTTGAGGTAAGTGCAGAGAGATGCATCACTAGAAAGATGGCTGGTTACTACATGTTGATTTTTTTTTTGGGGTGACAACTCATTGAGACTATTAACTGAGGCACAGATGGACCATATTCTGCATTGGGAGATGTAGCATCCACACAGATGAAATTGTAGGTGATGGGATCATAGATTTAGAGCAAGAAGGGACCTCAGAGTCCAGCTTATCTGAAGCCTTCATTTTATAGATAAAGAAAACAGAGAGTAAAATAGCTAAATGATTTGTCCTTGGCGATGCAAGTGGTAAATGTCAGAATACGTTTTAAAGTGTTGAAGATTCCATTTGACAGGGATTAGGATGGGAGAGAGGTTTGGCTAAAATACACACAGTACAGATAAAGACCATCCTTCCTGTTCTAGTGAGAGAGAAGCCAATGAAATGAAAAGAAGCAAAGAAGAAAACAAGTCCAATGACAATAAAGCAGATGGCAACAAGGTATTTATCATCCATTTACCAGATCACAAATGGACCTTTCTGACCTCAGGTCTGTGTCTGTCCTTACTGCCTGCTACTAATTACCCGTGATGCTGCGCTTTGATTATAGCCATGAATAACTGGTCTTGTCAATTTTTCATGTCCCAATTAGTGGAAAGTAGCTAGTTTCAGGATTCACTGGCCATAAGAGAAGATGCCTTTGATGGGACTCTATGGACCTTAAAAAAAGGGAGTGAGCAGGAGATGGGCTGTCTCCTGAGCCTTTCCTTCTAGCTTAGTAGTGAATGAATTAATGAATAAATACAAAAGCATGTATTAAAGGCTTACTCTCTGTAGAGTTGTAGAGCCTGGACTTTAGGCTCCTGTGGAATAGTGTGTTATTTTTGCTTCTTCAGTTTCTCCTAGAGAAGCAGGAATGCATTCACCAAAGAACACAGGCTTAGTTTTGTCCAAGCCTTCATCTGCCCTTTGGCCATATATACGAAGAAAGACATTGCATCCCATTCCCTCTAGATAATTAAGACCAAAATGGGGTATAGTATAATGCGCCCTGAATTTAGAGTCAGAAGTCTGAGTTTGAGTCTTAACTCTGATACTTCCTAGGTTTATAACTTTGGGCAAGTGAAATGTGTGCCAACTAAACTCTTTAGGCCTCAGCATCCTCATCTGTTAGATGAAGAGATAAGGGGGTTGACTAGCTAAGCTCTCAGATTCATTCCAATTTTATAATAGTCTAATTCACATGAAGAGAAAAACTCCCCTGCCTTTTTCTCCATACCCCTTCACCTTTCTCTCCCCTGAATTCTCCAGATCTGTCCAACATATCCACATTTGCATTGAACCAACCACATCTAATGCCATAGCTGCCAATTCTTTATCTCAGTTCTTGAATTTCAACAGGTGTGTAGGAAGAAAAAGCTATTGGATTGGGCCAGGCACAGCCAGAGCAATAAGAGATAGACAGCTAGCTCAGACCAGAGCAGATTTTCCCATAATGTGCTTTATGACATCCTGGTGCTTGGCACAAGGTAAAAAGGGATTCTAAGAGAAATGTTGACATACCCCTTGTAATTTTATATTCCTTCTTTTCCTATCTAAAATCAATCAATCAATAAGGATTTATTTAGTACTTACTATGTACCAGGCATTGTGCTAAGTGCTGAGGATACAAAGATAGAAATTAAACAATTCCTACTCTCAAGGACCTAACATTCTCTGAAATAAAATTGTACTAAACATGCTTATTAAACACAGCAAGTTTTCATTGTGAAAATAGACTTAAGTTCTATTAGCTACTTATGTGACTGTGTGGAAATTACTTAACCTTTCTGGACATCAGGTTCTTCACCTATGAAATGAAGGGGCTAAATTAGATAATCTCCAAGATCCCTTTAAGTTATAAATAATATGGCTTTATGATCATCTATAATATCACCTATTTTCTCCACCCCTCTTTATTCTAGGACCAAATGATTCCTCAATCAATCAATAGGTCAAGAACATTTACCAATCACCCACTACATTCTAGGCACTGTGCTAAGCATTGAGGATACGAAAAAAAAGTCATTCTGTTTCTGCCTTCAAGGAGTTTATAATCTATGTGGGGAATATAAAATGTACATATGTAGGTTTATTCAAAAGAGAAATACAAGTAACTTGGGGTGGTAGAACACTGCTAGAGCTGAATATGTAGGAGGATATTAAGAAGGAATGAATTCAGGACAAAGGGCTTAGACTGTACAAAGGCAGAGAAGCAGGAGATAGGGTGCTATAATATGAAGAACTGTAATTAAGTCATTTTAGGTGGATGATAGTATATATGAAGTGGAGTAAGATGTAGTAAGGCTGGAAAAGTAACATGTGGTCAGAACGTAAACAGATTTAAATATTAGGCTGAATTTGTTTGATCTTGGTGGTAATTGGGAACCACTAGAATATATTGAGAAAGAGAGTGACATAGTCAGACCTATGCTTGAAAATATTATTTTAGAATATGTGCGGAGGATGGACTGCAACAGAGGGAATCTTGAGTAAGTGAAATTAATTAACTGGCTATTGTAATAGTTCGAGCAAAAGGCAGTGAGAACTAGGGTGGTGGCCATATGAGTAGTGAGATGAAACGTATAGAGATAGAAATGATGACATTTAGAAACTGATTGGTCAATGAGGAGAGGCAACAATGACACCAAAGCTAGGAATCTGCATGACTGGATTGATGATTCCTTTGAAGAGGAGGAAAAGTTTGGGAAAGATGAGTTGTTTTGGACATGTTGAATTGGAGATGCCTACTGTTCTTCCAGTTTGAATTGTCCATTAGGTAGTTGGTGACACAGGTCTTGAACTCAGAGGAAAAATTCAGCCTGGACATTTATATACGTTAATCTTCTACATAGAGATGATAATTAACTCCATGTAGGCTGAGCCATCATCAGAAAACAAGATATAGACCAGGGAGAGGGCCCAGGAGAAGAGCGCACATCTTTCTAGATCCTGGGATACATCTATACTCTGCTAGGGAGTATAATTTAGATGACAGTCTGGCAAAGGCGGCTAAGGACTAGTGGTAACATAGATAAGAGTAGAATCAAGTGAGCATAGTGTCTCAAAAACCCAGAGATTCACTAGACAGCATCCTTTATGGTTTCCATCAATACATTTCTGACCCCATTTCTAACTGTGGGGGAGACAAGTGCAAACACCTATGTACCTACAAGACATTTACAGTGTAAATGGGAAGTAATCTCACAGGGAAGCCATTGGGGGAGGGAGGGTAGGAGTGGGAAGGGGAGGACCAGGATAAACTTCTTATAGAAGGTGGAATTTGAGCTGAATTTTGAAAGAAGTTAGGGAAGCCAAGAGGAAATAGTGAAGAGAGAGAGCATTCTAGGAATGAGGAATAGTCAATGAAAAGACAGTCAGAAGATGCACTGTACTGTATAAGAGACACCAAGAAGGCCAGTGTTGCTGTGTTGTAGAGCATATGGAAGGGAATAAAGTGTAAGATAACTGAAAAAGTAGAACGTTTCCAGGCCGTGAAGGGTTTTAAAAGCCAAACAAAGGCTTTCATAGTTGATCTTGATGGTAACAGGTAAATAGTGAAGTTTATTGAGTAGTAGTGTGATATGATCAGCACTTTACTTTAGGAAGTTGACTTTCACATCTGAGTGGATGAAAGACTAGCATTGGAAGAGATGATTCAGGGAGGCCAGCCTCTAAGTTATTGTAATAGCGTAGGCATGACATGATGAGGGCCTGCTCTAGGGTGGCCTCTATGAGGGGGGAAAGATAGGGATGGACATATAGGAGAGATGTTGTAAAAGTATAAACAGTAAAACAAAGCAATAAATTGAACATGTGAGGTGAATGCAAGTGAGGAGTTGAGGATGATCCAGAGGTTGCCAGACTGAGTGATTGGGAAGATGATGGTGCCCTTGATGGTAATAAAGAAGTTCAGAAGAGAATAAGGTTTGTGGAGAAAGATAAAGCATTTGGTTTTGGACTTGTTGACTTTGAGATGCCTACAGGCCAATTGCAGAATCTCAGAGTTGGAAGGCACCTCAGAAATGACCCAATTCAACTTCTACATGAACAACATTCCCCTGAACAATAATCTTCAACATGTGATTACTCAGTCTTTGATGGAAGATCTCAAGGGAGGAGATTAGGGGTTGAAGGTGGGGTTGGGCTGCTACCTCACAAGTCATCCCATTCCTTTGGTGAGCAGGTCTAATTATTCTTTCTTCCTTTGATATTAAGGCTGTATCTGTAAATGTTCCATATTGCTCCTACTTCATCTTTTGGGTCCAAGCAGAAGAGGTCTAATTCCTCTTACTCATGATAGTCCTTCAAATACTTTTCAACCTGTCCTTTCTCAGTCTTCTCTTATCCAAGCTATATATCCCTAGTTCCTTTAGCCAATTCTCTAATGGTATGATTGAGGCCTTTTAACATTCTGATTGCTCTTCTTGGAAGCAATGGGCTCCAGATGTGGTCTGACTAGGGTAGAGGACTGTCAAATTTTCACCTTCTCTGTACTGGATGTTTCAGTGCTCCTAATGCAGCCTAACCTTGCATGGCAGATTCAATGACCAGACCATGGTGGTAACATGTTTCCTTGCTTTGGCAGGATAAATGTCACAGTGCCCAGAACCAACGGAGCAGTGACAGTCATGTGTGTTCCAGGGCTGCTGACTCTGTTCAAGTTCAAGCTATAGTGTGAGTAAAGGTTGTTATGCCACTGCTACCCTCCTGGAAAATGGTTTAGTAGATATTTTTGTTGTAGCCAGAGAGGGTTGTTAGGTTACAGGGAGATTAACATTCGTTTTTCTCCTTGTCTTAAAGGCCTAATTAAAAAGAAACAGAATTTTCCATTCTTAAAATGTCCGTGGATTTGGAAGTTGTAGTTGATTTTTCTATGGGAACTAAAATAAACAAAATTGTCTGTAAAAAACATTAGGAAAAAAGTGAGCTGGGATATTGAGATAATCATCTTTATTTTGAGTAGATGTAAACCTCATGGGACTTGGTGATACAGACGGACACTGAATTTGATAGATGACTACTCGTTTTGACATTGGCCTTGAGAAGCCTGAGCCAGGGCTTTCACAACTAGTATATGGTGACACACTAGCTGATCTGGAAGCCTCACCTTGTAGATCTGAAAAAAACAATTGAAGTCATCACTTTTACCTGCCCCCCCTCACACCCCAAATTAGGATTCTCAATGGGGAGGGGGAACTACCTTCCCCTGCCCTCCTCACTTACTTTCCTTTTTTCTACTCTCAGATAGGGTGATGCAAAATGGAGCCAGTGATGAAATCAACTAAGTTTGGGTTGCCTGGGATTTAGCTGTCCTGGGTCCCTGACATTGCAAACTACAAAACAGCTCAAGGACAAAGGATATCATCTCTTTGTCCAAACCTTTGATCACTCTCCTTTAGTCATGGTAGCTCCTCAAGGTCAGAGACTCCCTTTTTTTCCTGCTTCTGTCTTACAGGATCATAGATATAGAGTTGTGTAGGCTCCTATGGGTCATCTTGATGACCTTTGAGGTCCCTCCCATCTCTGAATCTGTGATCTTATGATTTTTTAAGGCCCCAAGGGCTTATGAATTGTGTCAACCATTTGAACATCTCCAATGACTAAATCACAGATGTTTTGACCTATTGAGGAAGCTATTTGACCAAAGGGTGTAAACTGGAAAAATGTTTGCTTAAATTAAATTGTAAAATGTTTAAAAAATCAACATAATACCCTTAGAGATAATTTTTCTCTCTTTTTTTCCTCTACAGGAAGAAAGAAGGTCATGAAAAGGGAACAACTGAGCTCACTGACCTCACCGAAACAAACCCTGTAGACCCTTATAAAAAGTCTATAAAGCCTTCAATTTTTAGGGTAAGCTGGCTCCAGAAATTCCCTCTTTTATCCATTTTTCTTATGGAAACCAGTCCTAAAAAGCCTTCAGAATGATCTATTTTTTTCTTTATCTACCTACCATCTTAAAATAGGACTCCAAAAGTGTTAAAGCATATGGGCCCAGGACATATATAAACCAAGGTCACATTCTTCTTCTTCTCCTTTTTTTTTTTTTTTTACTAGGAACTGTGCCAGGAATTTCAGGACTTTATAAGAGGTGACAGCCTCATCTGTACCCGGGAACATAATCCTGTTTATGGTAGCAATGGGAAATGGTACAGGAACAAATGTGCCATGTGCAGAGAAATCATGTGAGTGAGGATGAATGCACGTGCCAAGGCCTGTCCTCTCTTAGTCTCTGATACCCTTGTTTCTCAGATTCAAGTCTGACAGGTTACTGCCTCCTCAAAGTAAGCCTTCCTTCGAGTCTGTCCTTTCTTCTAGCTAACATCCTCTTCTGGCTCCTGGGATGTAAGCTCTATTCCCATATCTGAGCTTGTCTTCAAAGAATGAGTTGAAATTGTGTATATACCTATATCTAAGTAAATATATTATATGTGTGTGTATGTGTATATGTGTGTTTGTGTGTGTATATGTGGTATAAAAGTCAGAGTACCTATTTAGAACACTTATAATTTTCTTCCCATTCTAAAGTAAAAAAGAAGCTGAGGCAAGAAATAAAGAAAAACCATCTATCCAGTCTGTGGAAGAAGATAAAAACCAGAGTAAACCATTTGTTTCTGTGGTGAGTATAACTGTTGACATCTACCTCTCCCCTTCTTGTGTTGTAAAATCCTAGGATCATAGTGTGAGTATATAGTGTGAGTAAATAGTGTGAGTAAAGATTGTTATGCCGCTGATGACTTTCCAGAGAGAATATAGGAAAAAATCTGAGTCAAACTGGTGGTCTTTCCCTATGAAGCTTTCACAAGGAATTGAGGAAGGCAAAGAAATTGTTTTGAGGGACTAAAGAGATACTCTAGAATTATTTGCAAGTTACATCTTTCTGTCTGTGCTATCTTCAGACCTAAATTTATCGACAAGGTTCACAAGATGTATGTTTAGGGCCTTGTAGAATGAACAGAAGTTCAGCAATTAACCTTGAGTTATTGCCTTTCTGGGTCAAGAATTTTCTTTGTTTCTCTTTTTCTGGCTATTAAGAGTGAGTTGGGGAACTGTACTCCAACTCACAAGGAAGAAAATGGCAGACACTGACAGACAAGAACATTCTTTGTTCTAAGGCAGATTATCAATGTCAGAAGGCCTGCTCCCTCCTTGTCACCTACAAAAGAAACTACATGCTTCCCCTCACCTCTTTTTTTAAGGGGTTACTGGAAGAGAAGTCATGAAAACTCTACCTTTCAAGAAAGAGGTCACGTGCAAAGTGACTGTTTTCATTTGGTTCCTTTTCAGGAGTCTGATATGTGCCGACAGTACAGGGTCATTCCCAGAGTGGGCTACCTGTGCCCAAAGAACTTGCATTTTGTGTGTGGTGAGGACGGCAAGACATACAACCATCCCTGTTTGCTGTGTAATACAAATCTGTAAGAACCAAACCTTAGGAAGGTCTCAAACACCCTGAAACATTTCACTGAGATCAGTTCCTCCTCCTTTTCCCTCCCTTTTCCTACTTTTTTTTTTTTTTTTTGCTTTTGAGGCATTCTGGGATAAGGAACTTGTCCTGGGTAACACAGCTAGTAACTTTCTGAGGCTGGATTTGAAGTTGGGTCCTCCTGACTCCACGGCTGGTGCATTTTTTTTTTCCCTGTCTTCCTCCACTCTCTCTGCTATGGGAGATCAGATAGAAAACTTCATATACTTTGAACTTTGAAACATGCTCACTTTAATAGAGTGAGCATTATTTACTAGAAAGAGCACTTGGATAGGAGTCAAAAGACTTAAGTGTTAATGTAGTCTTAGCTTCACCACCAAATTGGTGTGTGACCTTGGGCAGGTCACTTTCCTTTTCTGAGACTCAGTTTCCTCATCTGTGGAATGAAGATAATGATCCTTTCACTTCTTCCCTTAACAATTGGACTATTATGAGGATCAAATGAGTATAAGCATGCTTATGGCAGAAGAATATAGTGAATTGGGAGGCAGTTTTGAAGTTATGAAGACCAAGGTTCAAGTTCTGTCTCTTGCCTTGGGTTCAAGTTTTAACAGACACTGGCTATGTAACCTCTGCATACTTCCAGGCAACTCTATCAGATTATAAACTGCAGACTAAATGCTGATCTGTATCAGTAAAAATAATTTACATAAGGGGAACACCACATTGATGAAATGATGGGTCCAAAGGTGTGGGGCAGGCATACTAAAACATGAAAGAATTATATGTGTATATATATATGTATATATGTATATATAGGTAATGTATGTATGCATGTGTGTATATATATATTATATATATACATATATACACACACATATAAAATATGTAATGCATATACAATTGTATATGTATACATATATAGTATACAACATATATACATATACTTGCACATGCATACACATATGTATATCTAGTTATGTATGAAAACACACATATAAACATACTATATATGCATAGCATATTGCTATAGATATATTTGTATATGATTATATACTTAAGATATATATGTTTACATAAACATACATACATACGTACACATATATAAATTCACTAAGATTACAAAGTCCTTGATTAATCATTTGATTCTCATAGCAGACCTAGCAAGGATAATAAAACATTATATAAATGTGATTTATTATTAATTATTCATATATTTTAGAAGGCAATTTTATTGTCCATATTTCATAGAAAAGGAAACCGAGATTCCCCAGACATTATTACTTGCCCAAAATCACACAGAAGGCAATGGCAAAACTGGAACTAGCACCTTGGTTATCTGACTCCCAATCCATTGTATTAAGAGAGACAGTCAAGGAAATATTCTAGGATCCTATTGGGAAGAAAGCAAAATCAAGGTAAAGAAGAATACATGGAATAGGTCATTGGAGTACTGACCAATTCATCTGTCAACTCCCTCTCCTGCCTTCCCCTAGCACTCTATTGTGTGAGTCTTAGTTCATAGTGACCATCTCTCTCTCTCTCTGTCTTTATGTTTGTCTGTCTCTCTCTTCCTGTCTTCTTGTTTCAGGTTACATCAAACCAACATCCAAATCCTGAGGGAAGGGAAATGTGAAGATGGGCCTTTAGGAATACTCCCACCGAATTCTTCAGGCACTGTAAGTAGAAATATAGGAACCTAGAGTTGAAAGCTGAAAGGATACTTAGAATTAACCTAGTCTAACCCCTTAATTTTATACAAAATTAAACTGAGGCCCAGAGAGGACAAGTGACTTTCGCACCAAATTCACAAATGTCAGATCTGTCATTCTACTTTGTCCTTGCTTCGACCCTCAGCTTGGCCTTGGACCTTGAGGAAACTGAAACTGACCTCATTTAGAGGAGACTCACAATTTTCTCCTCCCAGGGAAGCAAGAGGCCCAAATCTCAGAAAAGGCATATGTCTCTAGCCAAGCCAGAACAGAATTCTTTGTTAGACAGAATCTCATAAAGTAGGATGTCACAACTGAGAGGGACCTTCTTTTACAGAGGTAGAAATAGACTCAAAGTGGGGACATGCCTTATATTCACCAAGATTCTATCGTAAGACCCAACTATTAGGCCTGGATCTAATTCAAACTCACTATAAGATCTTCGTTATGTTATTTCCCCTCTCTAAGGTTCAGTGCTGCCTTTAAAAACAAGGATTTGGCCTTAATGAGAGTGTATGTTTATCCTAAGGCTGTTTTCAAATGTGAGAGAGCAGGGAAGAAACAAAATGGAAAATAGGACAGAGAGGAGACTGGCTGGGTTATCTGTTGGATTTATTCCTGAGTTTATAGTCTTTGGTCTTTGTCTTTTCTTCCAGAATAAATGAGTGATGAATCAGTGGAAACATTGAGGGAAAGGTTCAAATGCTCAGCCCTGGAAAGTCTGCCTTAACCCTTCTGTATATATAAGGAACTCTTCTGAGCACGTATTATTTACCGTGCAGAACAATCCTGAGCTACTGGGGAAAGGACATACTGATTTTCAGTCTTCCATCCTTCTCTTCCCAGACTCTATGATCCTGGTGTGGAGACACATGCTGCATTCAGCCAGTGCTCTGGGGCCCCTGGTCACGGTGCTGTCTGTCCATTTGCTTGTGCAATAAAAGTAAACTTAGCAGAATGGCCATCCTACTTTTTGTTTCTGATGTTACAAGAGAGCTTAACATAATTATTCTAGCAAGGGCTAAATAATTGCTTCTCTGATCCTGTGCTAAGAGGGAAACTTGCTGGGCAGGTTATACAAGGTCATTCTCATCTCTATCACATACAGGCATAGAAAGAGTCATTCTCCAATCACCTCTATCCCAAGTAGTTGTGGCTATCCCCTTTCTCCTCTATCCCTCATGGAAAGGGTCATCTCCCTTCCCATATATTCCACAAAGACAGGATCACTGTCCACACATTCATTCCACACAGGCTATCTGTTCTTACCTCTATCCCACAAAGACTAGGTGTCTCTCTTTCACTTCTATCTCACACAGAAAGGGCCATACTCCATGTCTATTCCAAATAGGCAGGGCTATCCCATTTCATTTCTATCTCATATAAAAAGGACCATCTTACATCTTTTTTCTATCCCACGAAAGCTGGTCCCACTCCTAACAGTCTCATGAAATCCCGTATTGACAAGAAACAAAATGATATACATCAACTTCAATCCCACATAGATGCAGCCAGACTCACTCTTTGTTCCTTCAGTATACAATGCTACTGTTAATATGGCCTCTAATTACATTATATTTTATACCTCCTAATTCCTATTGTGGAGAATTAATAAAGCATTTTTCTTTCTTTACATTATTCCTTCCCTTATGCCTTTACCCAGGCTAGCTATGTTGAGTGACAACAAGAATAAAAGGAACTACTCTGGAAATAATGTGTAGAGCACTAATAAAAATACAGAGGAAGAAAGGTCAGACAGGTAGGAGGAGAACAAAGAAAAGATGTTGTCTCTGAAGCTAAAGAGGAAAAGAACACCTAGTAGTACTGAGTGGTCACAGGTTTCAAAAGGTAAAGAGAGGTCAAGGAGGATAAAGATGAAGACAGTCACTGTTAAAGAGGAAGTGAGGAATGATAGTAATTCAGTGGAATAAAAAGTTCAAGGGAAGACATTCTTACTGTTTCTCAAACTTGAGGATGTTTGTAGGCAAATGAATAGGAACAAGTGGCAACTAAAACATTGGAGATGCTTGGGAGAATGGGAAGGGAGAGTTGATTAATGAGTTATCCTAGAGAAGGTGGGAGGAAATGGGATAGAGCAAAAGTTTAATAGTGTCTCTTTGCGGTGTATTCTGGGTAATTTGCCATTTTGAACCCTCAGAATTTATGGCACTCTAGGATTTAGAGCCAAAAAAATGACCCCCCCCAAAAAAAAGTGTGTGTGTGTGTGTCTGTGTCTGTGTGTGTGTGTGAAGGAGCAACCTGTGGTCATTGGAAATGTTGTACAGTTTCTTAAATTCAATCCAGTCTGAATGTATTTAATTCTGGATCCAATTCATTGTCCATATACAACAACATATCCAACATGGAATCTTCAATAGGTTCGTAATTTTCACCTATTGCTCATTGGACTGCTATCTTTTGAATGGCTATGACTTTTATTAAAGATTCTTTGCGTTCTCCTGGGTCTTGATGCGATCATCTCAAAGATGTGATCCACTTGATGTGGTCAGCTCAAAGAAACCACAAGTATAAGGAGAACCTCGAAGTCTACAGAAAATCCTTCTTCCATTTAGGCTCTATAGGACCCTGTTTATGAGATGTTCAATATCTTTAAAGAGCATAAATCTTCCAGGTTGATGCTTTGCAGAGGATCATTGAGCAAAGTTTTCTGTACTTACATCTGTTAGGGAATGATGGATGATCTCAATATATTCAGGGGAGACATCTAGTTTGAGGAGAATCTATAAAGGCACATTTTATTCTAAATACATTAAAAACTGGTAAAATCTTGTATTTTCTATGTCTTTTAGTCAATTGTGTGACTATGAAGAAATCAGTCTGCTATCAAGTCATAGATAGAGTGTGGGGTGGGGGTGGGGTGGGATGGGTGGGTGGCCTTAGACATTATCTTCTTATTGTTGTTAGGTTTGGCCTTCATTCTTGAAGAGGACTGTGACATCAGGGAAGTGATGGAATGACTTGCAATTGACTTTGATTTGAGTGAGGAAGGAGTGTGTAAGGTTACCAGCCTCACTGTCTCCTCCAGAGCCATCTGGGTCCAGTGGTCATATATTTATCAGGATGATTGGAGATAGCACAGGGGGCACACATTTGTCGTCTCTGTTCTAGATGATGTGGTTGTGTAGGTCACAATACTCCCAACTGAACCAAATCAAAACATAATTGGGAAATATTTAATGAAATAAATACAAATATAACAAATACAATGCAAGATGAAATATAGATAATATTACATTTTAAAAGCAAGTCAGTATGTGGCCTACAGGGATCCTCATATATCAGTTTCTGTTTGAACTTGACACCACTGACCTAGATTGTCTGCCTCATTCTGTAGATGAAGAAACTGTGGCCTATTATGTTCAAATGACTTACATAGCAAAACTGAATATAATATTTCAGGGGAAAAATAGACATTTAATGAAATAGGGGACTTTCAAGCATTCTTGATAAAAAGACCAGAGCTGAATAGAAATTTTGACTTTCAGATAGAGGACTCAATAAAAGCATACAAAAGTAAATGTGAAAGAAAAATCATATGGGATTCAACAAGGTTAAACTGTGTACATTCCTACATGGGAAAAGGATAGTTGAAACTTCTAAGAATGTTATCATTATTAGAGTAGTAGAAGGAGTGTACATAGAGGGCATGGGTATAAGTTGACTATGATGAAATGATCTAAAAAAAATTAAGGGGTGAAAAAGAGGGTTATACTGGGAAAGGGAGAAAGGAGAGGTAGAATGGGGAAAATTATCTCACATAAAATATGCACAAAGAAGAGCTTTTATAATAAAGGGAAAATGGGAGGTGGTGGCAGGAAATGCTTGAACCTCACTCTCATAGGATTTAGTTCAAAGAGGAAATAACATACACACTAAGTCAAATATAAAAATCTACCTTACCCAACAGGGAAGTAGGAGGGAAAGGGGATGAGAGAATGCTGGAGAGTGGGGGATGGTGGTGGAGGGACTGATAAAGGGAGGGCAGATTAAGGGAGGCAGTGGTCAGATGCCAAATAGATTTTTGGAACACTACTCACATAGCCCTCACCCTAGTTAAGGCCCTCCTTAACTCTTACTTGAACTATTGCAGTAGCCTGCTAATTAGTTTTCCTTCCTCAAGATTCTCTTTGTTGTAGTTTATCTTCAGCACCTATTACAAAATGGTAGTTTCTAAGTGCAGGTCTGCTATGTTACTCCCTCTCTTAATATACTCCAATTGCTCCCAATTACCTCTAGGATTGAATAAACTCTGCTTGATATTCAAAACCCTACACAACCTGACCCTTTTTGACTTTGTTAGTTTTACTACACCTTACTCCCCTTCATTAATACTATGATCTACCCAAACTGATCTTAGAATTCTTCATATTATAGCATCCCGTTTCCTGCTTCTCTGCCTTTGCACAGTCTGACCCAGAATGCAATGTCCTTCTTCATATATATGGCCAAAGGGCAAATGAAGGCTTGAACAAAACTTAGCCTGTGCTCTTCAATTAATGCACTCTTGCTCCTCTAGGAGAAACTGAAGAAGCAAAAATAACGCACTATTCTGTGGGAGTCTAAAGCCGGTTCCATAACCCTGCAGAAAGTAAGCCTTCAATACATGCTTTTATACTCATTCATTAATTAATTCACTCATTCACTACTAAACTAGAAGGAAAGGCTCAGAAGACATCTCACCCCCTGCTCACTCCCTTTTTTTAAAGTCTAGAGAGTCCCATCAAGGATATCTTCTCTTAGGGCCAGTGACTCCTGAAACCAGAAAACTACTTTCCACTAGTTGGGACATGAAAAAGTGACAAGACCAAGGTTATTCATAGCTATAATCAAAGAACTACATCACAGGTAATTGGCAGCAAGCAATAAAGATAGACACAGGCTTGAGGTCAGACAGGTCTATTTGTGATCTGGTAAAATGGAAGATAAATACTTTGTTGTTATCTGCTTTATTGTCATTAAGCTTGCTTTCTTCTTTGATTCTTTTCCTTTCATTGGATTCTCTCTCCCTAGAAGAGGAAAAAAAAAGAGTGTACATGGTCTTTACCTGGATATATTTAGCCAAAATTTCTTCAATCTTAATTTATATCAAATGGAATCTTCAATATTTAAAAAAAATCTTTTTATATTTACCACTTATGTGACCATGGATAAATCACTTAGCTATTCCAGTTTCTGGTTTCCTCATCTATAAAATGAAGGGTTTGGACTGAATGACTTCCAACATCCCTTCTAGTTCTATGATACTGTTATCTGTGATTTCATCCATGTGGATGTTCCAGTTTCTGATGCAGAACACAGTCCATTTGTGCCTTAGTTAACAGTCTCCACAAGTTGTCATCACCCAAAAATATTAATATGCATTGGCTTTGCACTTAGCTCAGCTGGCCCATTGTTGTTGTTCAGTCATTTTAGTTGCATCTGACTCTTCATGACTCTTTGGATACTATATATAATCTCTATTCATCCGGCCTGCACTTGAAGTCTTCCCAGTTAATTAGAGTGTGCTAGCAGAGCTTTCAAGACCCTTTCTCCCTAAAAAAGTTGGGCAAATTCAGGGGAGATGAATGTACGTCTTATCTTAATTCAATTAGACCAAAATCATAAAAGTGAATTTCTGATCAGATCCAAATTCTTGGAGTCTCTCCAGACATCACTGGCTGACATCTGACAAACATAAGTAAACACAGAATTTATCCTATGAGCTCAGGGTTTCTATGGGAGCCATGGAGAAGCAGCTCTCTCCAGTATATGCTGTTATTTCTGTTGAGTTGTTTGTCTCTGCTGTTTCTCTACTGAGAACCCAGGCTAGCTTCTCAATGTAAGGTATCAGACATGTAGAAGCAGAGATGAAAAAAAGTGGAGCTACTTCAGCAGCAGTTCAGGGGAAAGAAGAGGAAGACCAGTGACTGGTGGCTAGGGGTTCAGCTGTGAAGGTCAGTCT